AAGGAAAAAGAGGGAAGGAATGAGAGGAGGCAGAGTGGCCCTACTAATGAGAAAGGAATGGAGTTTCAAGGAGATGGTTATCCTGGGCTGCGAGGGGTTCAGAGACTACATAACAGGCACCATAACAATGGGAGGACCAAGAGAAGTAGTAGCAGTGATATATAACCCTCCACCAAATGACAGGAGACCCAGGTAGGAGTATGACAAAAACAACATGGCAATGAACACTATAATTGAGAGGACAGCCTCTGCTGCCTGCAGAATCGATCCCATCTGCTCATCATGAGGGACTTCAATGACGGAAGGATAAACTGGGAGATCAAGGAACCACATGAAGGTGAGGAAACATGGAGAGCTAAACTATTAGAGGTGGCGACAAAAAACATTTTAAGCCAGCATATGTCAGGGGTAGACTGACATGCGAACTGAAGGGACCCCACAAGAATGAGAGGAAACGATGAACCAGTGAGACTCGACCTAGTCTTCACTCTGAACGACTCCAACATAAGGGAAATTAGTTTCGAGGCCGCAGTAGGAATGAGCGATCACAGTGTACTGACGTTTGAGTATCAGGTCGAAGAAGGGTTAATGAACTCGACGAGAGGAACTGAAAACAAAAGGCTGGCATTTCGAAAGGGAAACTATGAGGAGATAAGAAACTTCCTAACAGATATAAAATGGGAAACGGAGCTCAGGGGAAAGACGGCCCAAGACATGATGGACTTCATCACGCAGAAGTGTAAGGAGGCAGTAGACAAGTTTGTCCCGGTCCAAAGGGCAAAAAACCAAATGCAGATGAGAAACCCATGGTTTAATCAGAGATGTAAGCTAGCAAAGCACCAAAGAACAAGGGCATGGAGAAACTATAGAAATAACAGGACACTTCAGAGCAGATAAAGATACCAGAGTGCCAGGAATGAATAAGTCAGGGTGAGAAGAGAGGCAGAAAAGCAATGCGAAAATGACATAGCAAGCATGGCACAAACTCAACTTAAATTGCTGCACAGCCACATCAGGAGAAAAACAACTGTGAATGAACAGGTAATATTGGATGAAACTGGGGATAGGGGCAGACAGATATACTACAAATGACAAGGAAGTGTGCGAGGAACTGAATAAGAAATTCCAGGAGGTCTTCACAGTAGAGCATGGAGAATTCCCAGAGATAAGAGAGGGAATATCTAACCAAACACCACTGGATGAGTTTGTGATTCCCAGTGGGGAGGTGAGGAAGCATCTGCTAGATTTGGACGTGACAGGCTATAGGCCTGGATGGAATCTCACCATGGATACTAAAGGAAGCAGCAGAAACTGTGCCTGTCACTCTCCATAGTGTATAACAAATCACTGGTAACAGGTGAACTGCCAAATATTTGGAAGATGGCCAATATAGTCCCAATATATAAGGAGGAGGATAGACAGGAAGTACTGAACTACAGGCCAGTGTCCCTAACTTGCATACCATGCAAGTTGGTGGAGAAGATTGTGAAAAAAGCTAGTGGAACATCTGGAGCGAAAGATCTTTGTAACACAACAGCAGCATGGGTTCAGGGATGGCAAGTCCTGCCTCACAGAATTAATTGAATTCTATGACCAGGCAACACAAATTGGGCAAGGAAGAGAGGAGGGTGGGCAGATTGCATATTTTTGGGTTGCCAGAAAGCCTCTGACACAGTACCACACAAGAGGCTACTGCAAAAGCTGGAGATGCAGGCAGGAGTGAAAGTGAAGGTACTCCATTGGATAAGGGAGTACCTAAGCAAAAGAAGACAAAGTCACTGTGAGGGGTGAGGTTTCAGAGTGACGAGGCATCACCAGCGGAGTCCCACAGGGTTCAGTCCTTGAACCGTTACTGTTTCTGATATAAATATAAATAATCTTCCAGAGGGTATAGAATCGTTCCTCTCATTGTTTGCTGTTAATGCAAAAATTATGAGGAGGATTAAGACTGAGGAAGACAGTATGAGGCCACAAGATGACCTATACAAACTAAATGAATGGTCCAACAAATGGCTATTGAAGTTCAACCAGAGTATATGTAAGGTAATGAAATTAGGCGGTGGAAACAAGAGGCCAGACACATAATACCGAATGGGAGATAAATCCTTCATGAAACGGACAGAGAGAAAGATCTAGGAGTTGATATCACACCAAATCTGTCTCCTGAAACCAACATAAAAAAAATAACATCTGCGGAGTATGCAAGGCTGGCTAACATCAGAACTGCCTTCAGGAACCTGTGTAAGAAATCATTCAGAACCTTGTATACCATATATGTGAGACCAATCCTGGAGTATGCAGCCCCAGCATGGAGCCCGTTCCTTGTCAAGCACAAGACAAAGCTGGAAAAAGTTCCGAGATATGCCACTAGGTTAGTCCCAGAATAAAAGGCATGAGTTATGCGGAGAGGCTGCATGAAATGTACCTCATGATACTGGAAGACAGAGGAGTAAGGGAAGACATGATCACTTGTAACACCCATGACCCCCTCCCCCAAGAGCTCACACCCAGGGAAGCCTTCTCCAAGAGGTCAGCCCAAATGACCTCTGGATCGTCTTGCAAAGTTAATTAAAATATTCCTGGCTAGCCTTAGTCAGCTAGTTTCAAGGAGGTGATATTAATCATGATAATCTTGTCAACCATTTTAATGGATTTATATCTCCCAGAGACCTACGTGTAAACACCCAGAGACCTACCTTTTCTGTCAGATCAGAAGTCAGCCACCTGCAGAGTGAGTGGTTGGTTGTGCAAACATTCGCGAGGAAAACTTTCCTTTCCTCTCTCACTCCCATAATTAATATTCCCCCTTCTTGAAGAGGTGTATGGTGGTTGTCAAACAACTTAATGGTAAATTCTTGAGTGTTGTGCACGAGGGGTGGCGAGCCATTTACAAGCCTCAATGTAGGTTAGCAACAGCAAATCTCCCCCTCCCACTCCCACTTTTTCCAGCTGATATGAGGTGTGGCAGCTTTGGGGGTGTGTATATATACTCCTGTATGGGAGTTGGGAAGGGAGAGTGATGGGTACTGGAGGCAGAGAGGTAGTGTGGGCCACAAGTCATCAAGCTGGCCACCAGGAGACAGAGTGAATTCACCCAGCTCGTAGACCAGGAGACAGTGAATTCACCCAGCTCATAGACAAGGACCCAGAAGATAATGTGTGTGGTCTTTGATGTTTTCCATGTGTGATGTCTTAACCATTGCCAGTGTTAGGGTAGGGACTTATAATTTAGTGAATATCATATTTTGTTCTAAATAAACCCATGTTAAACTTTCCATCTTTGTTTTTGTCAATTAATGGAACTTCCTCATCCTCTGAGTTCAATTTTGTTAACAACCGGTCAGTCATTAATGACAGCTAGAAGAGGACTCAAAGCCAAGCAATGCTTCTTTGCCTCATTGCTTGATATAGCTAAACATCAAGCAGGATGGTGGCAGCATCTAGTTTAGTAAGATTTCTCTGTGTAGCATTTTCCTTGGAAAGGTACCATTGGTTCGAGGTGTAACCATCCGTGGTACACCTTGTTTCAGTTCATATAGTGCATTGCATCTAAAGTACCAGTGTTTCAATAACCAGTATCCTCAAGGTTTTACCTCAATCAATTGTTACAAAGTGCTACCAAGTGCAACCAGTTGGAAGTGTTATTCAGTTTATATCTGAATTATGAAGGGTTAATATAAATCAGTGTTACACACTACATACAAAATTCTCAGAGGAATTGACAGGGTAGATAAGAATAAAATGTTTAACAAAGAATGGTACCCAAACAAGGGGACACAGGTGGAAACTGAGTACCCAAATGAGCCACAGGGACGTTAGAAAGAACTTTTTCAGTGTCAGAGTAGTTAACAGATGTAATGCATTAGGCAGTAATGTGGTGGAGGCAGACTTCATACACAGTTTCAAATGTAGATATGATAGAGCCCAGTAGGCTCAGGAATCTGTACACCAGTTTGTTGACAGTTGAGAGGCGGGACCAAAGAGCCAGGGCTCAACCCCCACAAGCACAACTAGGTGAGTACACACACACACACACAGTGGGCTGTGTGGACAGCGCTCTTGGGTCATAGTCCTAAGGGCCCGGGTTCGATCCCCGGCAGAGGCAGAAACAAATGGGCAGAGTTTCTTTCACCCTGGTGCCACTGTTCACCTAGCAGTAAATAGGTACCTGGGAGTTAGACAGCTGCTACGGGCTGCTTATAACTACAGGTGTAGTTATAAGCAGCCCGTATCTTCTTATGCTTCTCTTATAAGCATAAGAGAAAGAGGGAGGAAGCAGAGAGATGGGAGAAGGAGGGAGGAGAGGATCAGGAGAGAGGGGGGAAATGGGAGAATGAGGAGAAAACTTGAGAGAAAAAAGGAGGGGGGAAGGAGAAGGGGTAAGGGAGAGGAGGAAGGGTAGGGGGGGAGGGGCATGAGGAGGGAGGGGGAGGGTGAGTAGGGGGAGGGTTAGTAGGGGGAGGGTTAGTAGGGGGAGAGGGAGTAGGAGCAGGGAGGAGGGGGAAGGAGGAGGGCAGTGAAAGAGGGAAGGGAAGGGAATTATGAGGGGAAAGTGCCAAGCCATTATGACTATATAGCACTGGGAAGGGGTCAGGATAAGGATTTGGGATGGGACAGGGGGTAAAGAATAGTGTCCAACCACTTGGAAGGTCGGGGATTGAACGTTGACCTGCAGGAAGCGAGACCGTCGCTCTACCGTCCAGCCCAAGTGGAAGAGGGGGGGGGGGGGAGGAGGAGGAGGAGGAGGAGGAGGAGGAGGAGGAGGAGGAGGAGGAGGAGGAGGAGGAGGAGGAGGAGGAGGAGGAGGAGGAGGAGGAGGAGCAGGAGAAGGAGGAGGAGGAGGAGGAGGAGGAGGAGGAGGAGGAGGAGGAGGAGGAGGGAGGGAGGGAGTAGTGAAGAGACGAGAAGTAGAAGGGAGGCAGGAGGACAGAAGAGGAGAAGGGGCCCTAATGTGCAGTATATAGAGCATTGAATAACTGATTCAGATAAGAAAATATCTAAACAAAAAATTACTGTTTATTCAACTTATACTAGTCATTTATCTTATTCAGTGTGGAAATATATATATTGTGTACAATGATATATAAATACTCTGTAAGTAGGTATCTGTCAGTCCCAGGAGACTATAGAGTTGCGCTATGGTTGTCAGTCTGGAGTGGCCTCTCCAGGGGCCACTCCAAGGTACTGTATATATACTTTATATATACTTTATACAGTATATAGAAAATTTCAAATACTTTGCATAACTTTAATTATACTGTCCAGTATATATAAAATTTTGTTTCAAATATAAAATATAAATTAACATTTTAACAAATTATCCATTTTTAAACATTCCAAATAACTTAAATCCACTTAAGAATCCTCTTTTTTCAGGTGAAACTTCTTTAACCTCCTTTTCTGCTATCTGGTCCCTTGATAATCCTTCCTGGAGAGCCTTTTCTGCTTCTATCCTCAGAGGAAAATGTGTCATTTGCTTAGCAAGCAAAGGAACTACAAAATTATACTTGTCAATTTTCTTATTCATTGCTTTTATATTGTCTTGAAGTTGTTCCTGGGATTTCTTCCAAAGTACCTGTAATACAATAAAAATAATATATTAATCAGACTGAACAGCTAGGTGGACAGCGCTTCGAATTCGTAGTCCTGAGGTTCCGGGTTCGATCCCAGGTGGAGGCGGAGACAAATGGGCAAAATGTTTCTTTCACCCTGATGCCCTGTTACCTAGCAGTAAATAGGTACCTGGGAGTTAGACAGCTGCTACGGGCTGCTTCCTGGGGGTGTGTAACAAAAAGAAAGCCTGGTCGAGGACCGGGCCGTGGGGATGCTAAGCCCCGAAATCATCTCAAGATAACCTCAAGAACATATGTAAAAACTAACACATGAAGATTACCCATATCTTATCTTAAGGTTACCTTGAGGTGGTACCTTGGTGGTTACCTTGAGGTGGCTCCAACAATCAATGACCCCACCACCCATTTTCTGACTAGGCCTCCTGGATAACCATCTGGTCAACCATGTTGTTAAACACACCATTGCATACAGTCTGACAAATAATTTACAGCTAATTACATCAGTTTCGATTGTAGACAATCAGTGGAGGCATCCCTAATCCCTAGGTCAGTTGTATCTCACAGCGCAGAGGTAAGTGCAGTCAGGTCACAGTCAAAATGCTTCAGATTCAAGTCCCATAGCAGGACAGAGGCATCTGGGTAACATTTCCTTTCACCTGATGGCTCTGTCCACTTAGCAGGAAATAGGGGAGTTAGGTAATTGTAATGATGCATCCTGGGGAAGGCCTGTAGTTTACCTATGTGGGTGGGGGATGAATCTTTATAAGCCTAACAGGGTTCCTGTTCCTGACTATGGGAAACCATCAGGTGAATGGATAACCATTACATATCCTCTGTTATTATTACCCTATTTCCTACCTCCATGGAGTGAAAGTTAAGTTTACAGCCGATACCTCACAAAATCATATGATATCCCCAGTAACCTACTGGGGATACTTAATGAAGTACAGTACAGTCAATAAACATCACCTCTTCTTGTGGCGTTAATGGTAGGGCTCCCAGCCTTTCTCGTTTCTTCCTCAACATCTTTCGCAGATACATCCTGTCTTCTCTTATTTCCTTTTCTAGCATGACCCACTCTGGAGCATAACCATTATTTATCAGTACCTAGAAAGAGCATAAAAGAATCATTTGGTTTTATGTCAAAGATCATCATGGGTTACTTTTCATATGCTCTCACTGCCTGTGCACATTACCTAAATTTAATTTTGTACACTACAGTATGTCACCAAACAAAACTTAGCTAATAAATCACATTATATTCACCCCTACTAACTTGTAATGAGTTGGTCAAATATACAGAACAAAACTAAATGTGTGTGCATTATTTCTCTCAGTCACCGCTGTACAAATTCAGTACTCTACTGTAACTCTTCCAAATGAACTCTTCAGATTTTTTTTTTTAATTTATGTACATACAGTATATACAAGAGTTCTTACATTCTTGTACAGCCACTAGCACGCATAGCATTTTGGGCAGGTCCTTAATCCTAATGTTCCCGGAATACGACCCGCCAAATCGTTTAACAACCAGGTACCCATTCACTACTGGGTGAACAGAGGCTATAGTTAAGGATTGACGCCCAGTAAATCCTCCCTGGCCAGGATACGAATCCAGGCCAAAGTGCTCATGAAACGCCAGGAAAGTGTGTTACCACTTCGCCACAGGGAATGCAATTGATTTTCATCAATTTCAGTTAGAAAACAGATTTGTATTACAACTTTGCATACTCTTACACCCCTGCAAAATGCTTTCTCAGAAAATACAACTCCATCATTAGTTTCGTCTCATCTACGATACTTTTTGCACTTCACCTTTATTCATAATTGACTGCATTTGTATCTTCTGGTACCTTGTGTTTGATTCTTGACAGAATGCTCAAAATATCTATTTATTGTATCTATTAATTTATAACATACAGTACAATAGATTTTGTAAGCATTTTGTTGCATACACACAATAATTTGTATCAATATAGTGAACTGAAAATTAATTACTATGTACAAAGTGATAAGTTAATTACAGTACAGCGGTACCTCAGCTTACGAATTTAATCCATTCCCAGAGATGGCTCGTAACCCGAAAATTTGTAAACCAAAGCAAATTTCCCAATAAGAAATAATGGAAAATTAATTAATCTGTTCCAGACTCCCCCAAAAATTAATTTCGAGGTAAATATTATACCTAATTCACCCAAATCTTCTGTACTAAAGTATGTACAAGTTATTACTTACTTTTACTGATGACTCCTGTTTGCGTATGGAAGACAGTGAGGGGGGGGGGGGAGGAGGAGAAGTGTTACTGTTTGGAAGGGAAGTCCCCTTCCATTATAACATCAGGCAGTGATGACTTCTCTGCGGTACACACACTGGCACGTTTTGCCTGCATACTACTACAGCTGTATATGGAGGCTCACTTCCACAAGCCCTGCTTGTGGCTCACTGCTTGATTTTCTCACTAGAAATCATTCCATTGAAGATTGTTTTTTTTCTCTTCTTTGTAACACTTGTCTGTAGTGAGATATCACATTGTCATTAATAAGACCAATGCAACAGCCTGCTAAAGCTTTATCTGGGTGATTCTTTTCAGCAAAACTTTGCATTTCTTCCCATACTGCACAATTTTCTTAATTAATGAGGAAGGGACATCCTCTACTGCTGCCTCCTCTTCCCCTGAAGATTTGTTGTACTGCCTAGCTAGTTCAACAACCCCTGTACCATTTTCATGTTTATGAATGATCTCTTGTTTTTCTTCTATGGTCATTCTCACATGTGTTTTCTTGGCTTGATCCTTACCACTGGCTTTCTTGGGACCCCATGGCAAGTTATATAATAACAAATTTTATCTTCAAATAGCCAAAAATCAAAAAAAACTGTAAATCTTTGCAAAGAACTCAGGCATGATAGTCACTAGGCGGGAGGCACTGGTAAACTGAAGCGCGATCGCCGTACCACCACGCACTACGTCGGCCCATAAGCGTATCAACAAACTTGTTTCCCGAGGCAAAGTTCGTAACCCGATTCAAATTTCCCGAAGAAATTGGACTCGTAACCCGAAAAGTTCGTAAAGACGGGCATTCGTAAGCCGAGGTGTCAATGTATTATTAAAATGCATTCTCTGATGACAAGACATTAAAAACAAAAATACCTCGCATTTTTCATATAAATCCTTATACTGTATTACCTTCCTTCTGGGTAATGCAGGGGATTGTGCCTAGCCAATCTGCATGTTGTGTATGTTGGGACTTTGTGATTTTACTCTTGGGATGTGAAAGTGGTTGTTCTTATCAATGACTGCCTTTCAACACTGCGTGTTTATGGTTGGGGTTTGGTTTGCCAAGATGCCTCGCAACTGGTATGGCTGCCTGTAACTTTCAACAATGTGTATTTATGGTTGGGGTTTGGTTTGCCAAGATGCCTTGCAACTGGCATACCTGGCATGACTCATTGTCTGCATATGGCATGCTTGCCTGTGCGTGACAGTCATGGTGGCTGTCCAGTTGTGCACAAATATTGCCACCACAAACCATAAGCTGATTAATATTACACAAACATTGCCGCTAAATATAGTAAGCTGTCTAATCTTGCACGACAAGCAGATTAAACTTGCACAAATACTGATAATAAATACACTAAGCTGCCTAGTCTTGCCCAAATATAGCCCCCGCATACAATATGCTGATTAATCTTATGAAACTATTTGTATAAAGCACAAATGACTACCATAATTTCAGCCTAACAGACCTGATTCAGTTTGTGTGTGACGGTGTCGACATATGGATTGCAGTTCTGTTGTGGAAGTGGCTTCCCAGCATTGGGAAGGTTATCAAATTCCCCTTTTGCCATTGCCTCCTGTATCATATCATCCACTATTCGGTCAATGCCATACCTGAAAAGTGTTATTAAACCAAATATGGCTCAATCACATAAGGGTAAACATGAGAATTATTCCAGGACTGTCATATCATATAAATAATAATTCATTGTGTCAGGGAACAGGAAGCCCAAGTATAATCATATACGTGAGGCTTTTATCGAGGTCCCCCACCCAATGCCGAATTACTGACCCCACCCAGGATGCAACCCCACAACAAGCTGACTAACTCCTGAGTACCTACTTACTGCTAGGTGAACAGAAGCATTAGGTGAAAGAAAACGTGCCCAACAATTTCTGCCCAGCCCGGAATTCAAACCCGGAATTCTCGATTGTGTTTTGAGAACAAACCCGACTGTACTACTGGGACTCATAAAGCAGTGGGTGCTTTACTGTTCATATGATATGAACAGAGTGGTGAAATAAAAAATAAGGGATGCAATAATCATGAGGTGATATAATGAGTACAAGGAGCATAAAGAGTTCAGAAAGAATAAGTGGCATAGTCTGGCTGGATTAAATTAAATTACAGCAGCCATTTGCTTGCCCACTCCTGGAGTTTGTCAAGGGCTGCCCATAATTTTCAGCAGCCCTCCACAGCTTTTACATTCAACACTAGCTGTGAATCATCTGCATATATATTTTTTTTATTATTATTATTCTACCACGAATGTAGCCACACTATAATTCAGCGATTTACTTATTTATTTATTTATTTATTTATTTATTTATTTATTTATTTATTTATATACAGTATATATAAGTATATTTTGGTAAAAAAACCAGCGTTGAATGTAATGAAACGCCATTTTCTGGGTGAGTCCCGGAGGCTCCCCGGAGCTATCCCAGGCTGATATGCTAATGTCAGACTTTGGCATCAGTCATGTGTATGGAGTTCTTAGGCCTACCGGGGACCACGGCCAGAACCGGGCCCCCTCAGAGAGGCAAGGGGAGCAATGGCCTATAGAAGCCCCCGTGTAGTTGGAAGCATTCTATGTCTGCCATCGACCGGAACAGGCACCCAGAAAGGTAAGCGCCCCAAAACAAACCCCTATTCTGGTTAAAATTGCTACCTAATACCGAACTAGTGGATAGAACTCCCCAACCGAAAACAAGCAAATTAGTGTGACGTCACACACTGCCGCGCCGCTGTCTGCGCAGCTCCCCCCTCCCCGGGAGGGGGAAGGGGGAGCCCCAGACCCCCCGCGCCGGCTACCCACACCTCAGTTCTTGAGGCTGGATGTCAAAAACGCGAAAAACCGCCGACCGGAGGGAGGGAGGGATGCCGGGGAGCCTCCGGGACTCACCCAGAAAATGGCGTTTCATTACATTCAACGCTGGTTTTCTGGGGGGAGCCCCGTCGGCTCCCCGGAGCTAACTACCCACAGACAGAAAAAGAGGGACTTACCCGGGAGGCGGTCGTCGCTCACCCCTCAACTCGAAGCCGAGACAACTGGCTGCAACCGCCGACCCAAAGCAACACAGGCCCGACGAGGGCCAGGGACATTCACAAGGTAACGAGCAGCCAGGACCCTGTTCGACCGCCAAAATCCCCGCGCCCGAATATCAGACCAAGACATATTCCCAAAGACGGCAGCAAGAGCCGCGAACTTACGAACGTCATGGGCACGGGGATAGACCGCAGGCTGGCTAGACCTAATAACCCTGCGGACGACCTGAGAGACCCGAACCCGCGAACAGGGAAGAAGGGAAACCGGATCAACCCACAGCGCGTCCCCGGACACAGAAGCTGTGGCGCGCAAATAACGGCGAAGCGCCGCAACCGGACACAAAACATGATGCACCCCCGGCCTGACCAACCAAGCATCAACCACCCATGGACCCCTCCGGAACGCAGCAGTCTCATTCTTCGCCAGAAAAGAAGGAGACGGCTGCAAACGAACAAAACTATCACCACGACCAAAAGAGCAGAAACCCCTGCGCCGGAGGAGAGCATGAAGCTCCCCTACCCGACCCCCAGAGGCCAAAGCCAACAAGAAAAGTGCCTTGGAAAAACAATCCTGGACCGAAGGGGCCACAACGAAACGAGGAGATGAAAGGAAAGCGAGCACTCTGTCCAAAGACCAGGACGGCTCAGGCGACGCATGAGCAGGCCGGAGGTGAAACAATGCACGAGACAGCTTGCGAAACGGCGCAGACGTAACATCGATACCGAAAGCAAGCTGAAGCGGCTCCGCCAGCGCCGCACGATACGAAGCGACAGTGTTAGGCATAAGATGACGGTCCTGAAACAACCACGAGAGGAAGGACAAGACCACCCGAACAGACAAGGAGCTAACACGACGAAGACGCAAAAAGAAACGGAAGGACCGCCAGGAAACTTCATACTGCCGCCGAGAAGAAGCCCTCAGGTGGGACACCAACAAGGAGGCCACCTGATCACCATAGAGATGATGATAGACTCGAGTCAAAAAAACCATACGCGAAGACTCGAGGAGAAGATCGAACCAGCTACGTGACGTACCGGCCCGATCTGCTGAAAGAGGCGGAGCCGCGGGAAAACCCTCGGGTTCGGACACCGAGCAACCAGCGCCTGAAACCAAGGCTGGGCCGGCCACCAAGGGGCCAGAAGGACAACTCTCCCCCGGTAAGTCTCTAAGCGAGTCAGGACCTGGAGCAACAGCCGAACTGGGGGAAAGAGGTACAGGAACCCCCACCTCGACCAGTCGAGCCGAAAGGCATCGACCCCGACGGCCTCGCAATCGGGGAAGGGCGCCGCATAAACGGGAAGACGCCGCGACCACGCCGACGCGAAGAGGTCCACTTCGGGGCGCCCGAACGTCTGGCAAAGCCAACGGAAGGACTCGTCGTCGACCGTCCACTCCGTGGAGAGGGGAACGAAGCGAGACAGGGCGTCGGCCAAGACGTTGGACACGCCCCGTACGTGAACCGCCAGGAGAGCCAAACCCCGAGAACTCAGCAGACGAGTCACCCGAAGCGACCAACCCCAAAGAGACAAGGACCGCATCGAACCCCCGCGGTTCAGGCAATGAACCACCGGAGAGCAGTCCGAATGGAGCCGAATCGTCGATCCGCGGGCCACCCGAATCCTCCCCAGAGCAAACCACACTGCCGCGAACTCCCGCACCGTACTGTGAGCTCGACGGAAGGACGGATCCCAACGCCCCTGGCCGGCCTGGTGAGCACTGGTCACAAAACCCCAGCCGAGAGACGACGCATCCGTGTACACATCGAGCGAGGGCTCGGGTAGGCGCCAAGGCACTGAACCCCGAAAAACCCGAAGAGGAAGCCGGTGACGCAGCAACCGACGCAAGTCCCCCGGGGGTCGAACTCTGCGATCGCGAGAGAGGCGGAAGGGGGAACCCCGAAGGAACCAGAACAGCCGTCGAAGCCAAACCCGACCCGGCGGGTAGACCACCATCGCGAAGTTCAGGCTCCCGCACAGCCCCTCGAGCAACCGCCGGGTGACCCGAGGGCCCTCCAGAAACAGACGAAGGCGGGACCGCAGCCGCAGGAGAGACTCCGGAGGGAGAGACAAGGAGGCGGTTCGAGAGTCCCACACGAGACCCAGCCAAGTCCGAACCTGAGAGGGAACCAGATGGGACTTCCTCCAGTTCACCAAGAACCCGAAGCAAACCGGCGAGCTGGGAAAGAACCAAATCCCTGGCTAGCAAAAAGCAAGCAAAACCTGGCAAGAGGACAGCGAACCCCAAGGAACAGAGCCGGCCGCATGTCGGGAAATACAAGCTGAGCAGCACCCTGCGCCCCTAAGTGCAAACTGCCTCGAACTGCCGGTAACAAGGGAGACGAACAAACGAGCCACCACAACCCGAAAGGTAAAAGGCGTGTGAACCCGCGAGGTGGAAGGTGGCCCCAAGCCCCAAGGGCAGTAACAGGGCACCTAGGGAACAGCCCTAGGCGCATGCAGCCCGAGCTGGATAACTCCCGGCTCTCGCACCCACAAAACTAACACCACACGCAAAGCACAGTGCAGTAGCGACACCGGAGCCAGAGCACACGACCATCGCCTATAGCATCAGCCTCAAGAACTGAGGTGTGGGTAGCCGGCGCGGGGGGTCTGGGGCTCCCCCTTCCCCCTCCCGGGGAGGGGGGAGCTGCGCAGACAGCGGCGCGGCAGTGTGTGACGTCACACTAATTTGCTTGTTTTCGGTTGGGGAGTTCTATCCACTAGTTCGGTATTAGGTAGCAATTTTAACCAGAATAGGGGTTTGTTTTGGGGCGCTTACCTTTCTGGGTGCCTGTTCCGGTCGATGGCAGACATAGAATGCTTCCAACTACACGGGGGCTTCTATAGGCCATTGCTCCCCTTGCCTCTCTGAGGGGGCCCGGTTCTGGCCGTGGTCCCCGGTAGGCCTAAGAACTCCATACACATGACTGATGCCAAAGTCTGACATTAGCATATCAGCCTGGGATAGCTCCGGGGAGCCGACGGGGCTCCCCCCAGAAAATGAATATAGTTGTGCATTAATTGGCTGTTGATTGCTGGTGTTGACTTCTTAGTCAACACCAGCAATCAATTAGTCAACACCAGCACTTAGATTGCTGATGTTGACTCTACAATATTTTCTTTGTCTCTTTAGGTTGTTTTGACGATTAGGGACCAGTTTAGGGTTTTTTCACTTATATAAAGTATACCTTAAATATATCCCCTGAATCATTATAATTATTATAATTATCCCTATTTTTTGGGGGGGGGGGGGATTTATTTTTCTTGATTTCACTTCAACACATAGTGACCTACAACTTTCACATATTCGAGTATGAATGCCAAACAATGTTTATTAAAACATACAAGTAAATTCATGAATTAGAGCTGTATTATTCAATGTCGATAACTTCAACTTCAATTATATCTATAACTAGAATTTCAACTTACTGTACTTCAATATCCAAAAATCTAGTTTCTGACCGATTCTCATCATTTTACATATAGTGTGCACAGCTGTCTGTTCTACAATTACTATAGAATTGATTTTTCATAAACCCTAAACGTTTGGAGTTATAAATTTTTGTTGTCTAAATTTGCACATATTTAAAATGCCATAGGACGATTTTTTTACAGTAAACTATACTGAAAACCTATATTCTAAGTATATGAAAATGAAGATCATATGCTAGTCTGAGAGCATAATAACACCAAATAACACCAAATTGCTTTGTAGATTATGCACAAAACATTTGAAAGCGTTTCAGCAAATTTTAAAACTGAGCTCTATGTCCGACTTCATATGACGTTTTGCGCAGCTTAAGGGTTAAAAGATTTCCTGCTTGTTTTTCCATCCTGTACACTAAGCTTTCATGAGGAACATTATCAAATGCTTTTTTGAAACTAGGAAGATACAGTCTACTAAGCTTAAATTTTACTGTCATATTTTGGTAACCTTATCACAGAATTACTGTAGATTATTAGTCCGGCATGACTTCTCTTTCTTTGAACCCATACTTCCTTTCCACTATCCTCTCCAGGTGCTCCACCACTATCAACCTGATTACTTTCACCAACACTTTACCTGGAATACTTGTCAGTTACACTGGTCTATAATTAATAATGGAGAGCAGGAGAGCCTCCTGCTCTCCCCATAATGAATTAAGGAGGAGGAGGAGGAGAGGAAGAGAAGAAGAGGCATGAAAGAGGAGGAAAAAGAGGAATAAGAAAAAGAGAAGGTGGCGGCAGCAGTGATGATGTTGACTGTCCACATTCTTTTATAATTATCCTACCATGTGATTCTACTGAAAAATAATCATATTCTCATCAACATACACTGCAATTCGAGCAACAAATTATGGTAACATTACCGTGTGCGAATCTTCTTGGCAAAAGCTCTGTCTTTATCGACCAGTGAAGTTTCTGGATATTGCGATGTTATCTTCTGTATTTTGTAATCTGTAACATTTGTTGACGCTCTGAGGGCCTGGTAACGTGTATACTGTTTCTCTCGCTGAGATGGCGTGCCGACACCAATTCCCTCATAACTCAGATACTGACGGTGCTGGGGAGCCGTGTGCTACAAAATGAAAATAATATACTGTAATTGTAGTAAATACAATAATGATAAAAATAATGCATAATTAAGAACTACAAAAAATTCTACTTTGACAAATCTACAGTATTGGTTAAATACCATAGAATATTGATCCACAGTATCACAAGATAATCTAATACAAGTGACATGTTGTTGTACATTAGTAAAATACAGTGCTGTGTAAAAGATAAAAACAGGAAACATTTATCAATCAATCTTTCCCTACACATGGGTCCTGCAGGCAAGTGGTCTACATTCTCAACGCTCAATCGGAGATCTTGGGTTTGATCATGGGGCCGGACAGATATGGTTGGGCATGTTTCCTTTTACCCGATGCCTCTGTTCACATAACAGTAAATAGGGAGCAAGGAGGTAAGCAACTATTATGATTGGCATCCTAGGGAAGGTCAGTAGTTCGACATAAGGGGGACCTCAATACTGTATATCCCAAAGTACAGTACAGGCTACCAGTCCCCAACAATAGGAATGATTACATCCTCTGTCTTAACCTCTGCGTGAAATGCTATGCGTGATAGTGGCTTTGCAAGAATGTAAAAAAAAAACAAGATAATGTAATCTCACAAATCCCTTTATACCTTCTTGTAAATAAATTATTATTATTATTATTATTATTATTATTATTATTATTATTATTATTATTATTATTAACATTTAAAGCTGTGTTGCCAGTAATAGTTTTCTTCTACAAAAGTACAGTATAGTTGAATCTATACCATTTGCATATGTCCATTTCTGCCTATGTGGGGATACATTACAGTGTAGTCTATTTTTTAAAGATAGCCAATGTTCCAAAACCCATTGCCTGCACACTTCCCACAATTTTTTTTCTTTTTCTTTACATTTTGTGAAAGTTCCGCGAGTTTCATCTGAGGCAGCAATCCTTGTTCCTTGTTTATAAAACTGTACAGCTGCAAGCCTATTCAGCCCAGGAGTCCATGACTGAGCAGTGTGGTCAGTTTAGAGGTGGACAGTAGTTTGAGGTCAATTTAGTAGAGGTCAGTAGAAATTTGTGGTCAGTTTAGTGCTGGACAGTATAGGTTTGTAGTCAGTTTAGTGCTGGACAGTAGAGGCATGTGATCAGTTTAGTGCTGGACTAAACTTATAGTCTTTTAAAGTATAAACTTTAGTATAGGTTTGTTGGCAGTTTAGAGCTGGACAGAATAGGTTTGTGGTCAGTTTAGTGCTAGACAGTAGAGTTTTTTTGGCAGTATAGAGGTAGACAGTAGAGGTTTGTGGTCATTTTAGTATTAGACAGTAGAGGTTTAGAGGCAGTGTAGAGGTGGACAGTAGAGGTTTGTTGGCATTTTAGTGCTGGACTGTAGAGGTTTGTTGGCAGTTTAGAGCTGGACAGTACAGGTATGTGGTCAATTTGATGGTAGACAGTAGAGGTTTGTGGTCAGTTAACTACTGGACAATAGAGGTTTGTGGTCATGTTTCATTATTTTTGTTCTGGCATCATTGTGTCTAATTAACATCTCGTAGTATTTCTACTTTACCATGATCAGTGTTGTTGTCTTTCCTGAGTTTTTCCTCCTTTACGCCAACCTTACACGAACGTGTTAAGGAAACCTCGGAGGTAGCAACAGTATATTCCTTGCCTTGCCCAAAATGCTGTGCGTAATAGTGGCTTTAGGCATTGTATGTACTAGCTCTATCTATAAATCCATCATTATGTTTGTTAAGTCACCTTGTATGTATGTACTTTATCTGAATAAACATTTGATTTGATTTGATTTGATAAATTCAAATAAATTTATTCAAATTCAAATAAATAACAAATAATAAACACAGATAAATTTACAATAATAATTCATTCTGTCATGGAATTGGCAACCGTTGTGTATATACTGTATAAACGTTAGGCTTATATTGAGGTACCCCCCCTCCCCACAAGGTCAGTTAGTGACTCCCCCCAATATGCAACCCCACAACAAGCTGAATAACTCTTGGCTACCTATTTACAGGGGCATCGGGAAATTGAAAATGCACCCAACCATTTTTGTCCCGCCTGGGATTCGAACCCTAAATTCACGACTGCGAGTTGAGAATGAACCCAACTGTACTAGCAGGACCTTATATGCTGTATATTAGTACAGTACATTAGTAAAGTTACTCAGAAGAGGATAGCAAAACATAATAACACTCAAAAATGTTTTGAAAGTATTCATGATGTTGTCAGAGATGACATCTGATATTACGAACTACACACACACACATTAGATTGCATGCATACTCAGATTACCAAGAACTTAACCTTAATATCAAATATCTTATCATGGTCCTCTTCATCATCTTCAGTTTCTGGAGTCTTTCTCTTCTGCTCATAATAAAGACCATATTCACCTTCACAATTATTATGATTCCTGCGATCATCACTAAATTTCTCTTGAAGCTTGCGATAGGCTTGATCTATCTGAGGATGCACGGAAAGTTTACTGCATTACCAAATGTGAAAAATATTTATGAACTAAATCTTATTTCATTTCTAACACAGTAGGTTAGAGAATCAAGGCCTACAAGATATGCATGGGGGTTAGTTCAACATAACCAAACTTCTACGTCATCAAAAACTTCATAATCTCCAAACGTTTTACAGCTTACAGAAGGATTTACTGCATAATAATGGTGACTTTAACAAGGGATGAATACAGTGCTTTGCCATTCCTGCTAACATGCAAAAACTACCACTGAAGCATATTAAGACATCACCTAAGGTTACAATTTTATACAGCTCCAAAATAAAATTTCTTTAAGAGTTTCTTAAAAAAATAAGGTGTCAAATGAAATAAAATACCCCCTTTTCTGAGTGGTTCCTCAGCTGTTTCCCTGTTAAGATTAACTCGGCAAATAGTCACCATATTGTTTAGGGGGCAGAAAGACAGTGGAGGGTGTACTATAATCCAACACTAAAAGACTGCACAATTATCATTGTAAAAATACAGTGCATAACTAGCAACTACACTGACTGCCCGTCGTCACATACATCTTGGCAACACAAATGCATCATCCTCAGGAAGCATATGAAGGTTGCTAATGAACTCCAACGAGGTGTACTAAAAAATAATTACCTGTATGTTAAACCAAAAATGCTATTTTATCTATATGCTGCCTCTTATCATCAACATTATATGAAATAATTACAAAAATCGTTCGCAAGAACTTCAAACTAGTTCACCCACACATCATGAAAGAGAACAATAAATTAGGTGCAGATTTTACACACTTCATACATCACCACTGTCTACACCCAATCCTTACCTGCTGAAACTTAACAGCATCAGCCTGAACATGTCCACTATCCGGGTGATATTTCTTAGCCAATTTGATAAAAGCATCTCGCACGGTGCCTTGGTCACAGTTGTTTTCAAGGCCCAACTCTTTAAAGTATACCTAAAAAAAAAAAAATTGACAAAAGTTCAAACTTAAGATGTACAGTACAGTAATACCATAATTCGGATCCTATACCTCTGATATTGGCCAATTTAAGTTCTGTTTAAATAAAACTGTTAAAAATGTCAGCAATAATAAATGGATTATAATTTGTGTGGAAATGTAAATATGACAGGAAGAGAACAAAAATAAAGCAAAGGCTTCCTATCCAATATTTTCAGCTTTGAATTAGGGATGTTTAATTATAACCCACTGTGAATAAAATAAGAACCTGACACCTAATTAAGAATTCTAACTAAAGCAACTTACCGAATAATCTCGTTCTCTGGAGTGAATGCCATGTGAATATATCCAATAATTCCCGCACCTAATAACAAGCCCTCGTGCAAGGAGTGCTCGTCCAGAAAGGGTCAGCATTCTAACCTGACAAAAAAAAACAAAAACAAAAATTCTAAAAGGCTGCCTATGTTGAGAAATATCTTTTCTGCATCTAAATACTTTGTTCATGTTCAAAAACAATTTGAACAAACAAAGCAGGTGCCTATCTATGAAAAAAGAATACGAAGTTAAAGAGAAAAAAATTCCCAAATTAGAGAGGAGAGGATGATAGACAAAGAATAAACTCTGAAACTCCAGATGGAGATGAAAAAAGCAAACAAACATTATATCATTTTAGAGCTGTTGAAAAGGGATGCCTTATTGCAGTACTAAGACCAAATGGGCAAAAAGTGCAACATTTCTAAGTAACCCCAGAGGAGCAGGAAGTAATTAAGAATGTGCCATGTCTAAAAGAATTTAGAAGCAGTGCAGGAGTCAGACATCTGTCTAGCATTAAAGTTGAACTAGGAAGGAACTTATGTTAGAATGAATTGAGTTGTTTGGGTTGGGTTGGATTTGGGTTAGTTATTGTTGTTGATGATTAAGGGGCCATAATGGCCCCTTAATCAACAAATCAACAACTCCTATTTTTTTTTTTTAACTGCAATGGAAAACCGCTGTGCCTTGTTACAGATAAGCACTGTTAGGCAGACATTTAGTGACCTCGCCTCTAGTCTTCCAAGAAGGCAAGCAATGGACCCCACCACACACATAGTCAGCAGAAAGACTCAACAGCCAGAAATCCCTAATGATAAGGTACAAGGTAGAATTATGATGGACCCTTTAAAAAAAAAAAAGCTAATCGAGCAAAAATGCAAAAACGTCTTCCACTGACCTCCAGTAGAACATATCTCTAATACCCACTACCAACTTCCAGCACCTCTTGGACAAACCGGTGCCAGACACTTTTTCTCCACTTGAAGATCCAAGTGGGAAACAGTAATGTACCAACTTTTCTGTGACCACAGGCGGTAAGTGCCAGGAGTTGTATCAACAGAGGCCAAATGCTTGCTAATCCAGCCACCAAGACCCCTGTTTTTAAAAGATAAATGGTTTGCACACTTTTAACAACTGATAATGTTTGAACATTTCTCAAATATTGCCACTCTGATGACCTCTGTTCAAACTGCATCTCTGTAAATGCTTCTTCAAATATAAATAATTGCCAATAGACCCTAAACACCAGACCTAAGCTACACCTAACTGTATATAGAACTTCAATGTATATTTATTGACGACCAAACCACACTCCAGAAGATCAAGAGACGACGACGTTTCCGTCCATTCTGGACCATTATCAAGTCAATTATATCACAATCGACTTGATAATGGTCCAGGATGGACCGAAACGTCGTCGTTTTTCCCATCTTCTGGCAACCCATCCTCGACTCAAGTCCATTACATCCAGCGGTCAACCCCACAGACGCATTCATAAATTTTAACATGCTGTTCATTCAAAATGGGAATTTTCTCAAGTATAAATTAATATTATAATATATTAGCATATTGTGTATAAATAGGCATAGGTTAGGTTAGGTCAGGTGTTTAGGTTCTGTTGGCGATTATTTGTATTTGTAGTACGTGGGTGAAGCATTTACAGTGTTGTGGTTCGAACAAAATTCGTCAGTGAAGCACTTGTTCCGGATATGTTCGAACGTCAGCAGTTGTGAGTCGTGTGTAAACCGCTTTTCATTCATAAACAGGGGGTTTGGCAGGTGCATGGAATCACTTTTGGATCTTTGTTTGGAGGACCAGCTGCTTCTGATGTGGTTTGGTCATCATATTTGGTCATCACAATGTTAGTGCGACTCTTCGTCTGTATATTTATTTATATACAGTATAAGAACCTATTTTTAATAGACTACTTGCAAACTTATGAATGCGTCTCAGGGTACGGCTGCAGCTTTAACGAGCCTAACTTGTGGACGGGTTGGGAACAGAAACAGTTGAGCATGTTTCCTATCACCTAATGCTTCTGTTCGCTTATCAGTACATATCTGTTCGTACATAGCTTGTTGTGGGGTTACATCCTGAGGAAGGTCAGTAGTTCAACCTTGGAGGGACCTCGATATAAGCCTAACGTATATATATACACAGGTTGCCTGTCCCCGATAAAATAAATAATTTATATAATAAAACCTCAGAGTGCTCCTGAAAAAATTTGTTTACATTATCAGCTGTTGTGCATAAGTACCAAGAACCCGCCAAGATGAAGCTAAATATTCCAACTCCTTTAATGAGCTACTCGACGACTTTTGTATCTTTGGTAGATTTTAACGATGTTCTTTTGTTAATTTCATAATTAGCTCTCGGTATTTATATTTTGTCCGAATCAATTACTCCCTTTGAGGATAATCGTGTGTCTGATTATTCATCTTAGACATAACTATACTATGCACTTGCAGACAGTCGATTGATATTTGGTGAGATAGTGTAAAATGCTGTGAACCGGTCTTGCCTTCTGACCAGGTTGTAAACCAGATAGACCTAATTGTGTTTTAAGTCTCGCCCAAGGATTCGAACCAGGGCGAAATTTTGCAAGATGGCCGATACAGAGCTCGACGTAGATAATTTAATTTCTCGCTTATTAGAAGGTAAGCGTGAATAGTTTCACAACTCAAACACCTCACGTTGTTTATAAACACTTCCCCTGTGTCGAAATGGGAAATATGAGCCATGCAGCCTCACGAGACCGTACAGAATGACCAGATTAGAATCTCGGGTTCGGGATGTTTTGACATGGGCTGGTCCAACCTGACCCATTCCTGCCAAACATACACGAGAAAACGGCTTAAAAACCCCAAAGCAGGTGCTCAAGTTCCTGAGGAGATATCAGTAGGATGCAAGAGAATAGCTGCGAATGACTCGCAAGTGGTGTAATGTCTGCAGGACTCCCAGAGTTGCGACAGACAGGCCACAACTTGAGTCATTCCTGAAGTGAAATTTCCTTTTTCTTAACTGCAGTACAGGTCACTCGAGTGCTCTCGGTGTCACCCTTAGGAAGTAATATTTGGTAAACGTTTACCTGAGGCTATTATGCCTATTAATATACAATGTATAGTCTTCACTAGGTACGTAGCCTGGTGTACACTACACTACTGCATTTTCTTTTATAATACAGTACTGTATTATAGACTTTTAAGTCAGGGTGTTCTAAATTGTTCTAATTCTTTCATATATTGAAAATACATATGACATACAGGTGCATGAAGTATAATATTTGGTTGTGGCGGGATGTCAGACACGCCCATACTCTCAAGACGTTCAGGTTGGCTTATTATTGAATTGTGGCCGTGCAGAATGAGAGAAAGAGAGAGAGGAGCCAAAAATTGAAGTGAGGTGTTCTACTAGGTTTATACGAGGGAAAGACATCACGGCATGATAATATGGGAAGAGTTAGTTTAGTTCATTTATTATGCACCCCATACCCATCTTGTGGGCGGTAGTGGAAAGGGTTACAGAGGCACATAATGGGCCCAGGGACTGAACCCCACAATTCATTCCGCTAAGTAAGTTACAATCATAATGAGCTAGTTACAAAATTCAGTGCACATCGTCACATTATCATCATTGGGTTCGAGACCGACCACAAGTACAGTTTCTAAATTAAGCAACTGACATATGTGGAGAGCTAGTGTCACAATTGATATGTTTATCCTGCACACCCCACCCCCCCATCCAGTGGGCAGCACTGGATAGGTTACAACCACTTAGTTACTACCAATAGCTAGCAAACTGGGGATATTTGGCAAGACTTCTGGTAGCAGATCATTTTGAATGAAGTGTTTACACATCTCTGGTACATTTGTTATATAATTGTCTCTGAATTCACGTATCTCTTCGCACTCCATTACATAGTGACGAAGGGTGTGCAAATAATTTTGTTGACTGTTTACATTTGGTCAGGTCTACATTAGCAGACAATGAGAAATCCCGGAGATACTTGTAACCGAGTCTAAGCCGAGCAGTAGTAAGATCTAGAGGTCTGCTGATTTTGAATGGGAATAGGAATGAATGGGAATATATGGGAAGATATGATGAAAGTGCAGACGATGAGTCACAATAACGTGGCTTATTCATCATATTCATCATAAAAATATGATGAATAAACCACACACCAGAAGATGAGATGACGATGTTTCGGTCCGTCCTGAACCATTATCAAGTCGATTGTGGATGAAATGAAAATGAGAGAAATAAGGAAGGAGTATGCTATTTAATGTACAGGTATAAGGAGCAGTACGGGCCATTGACTATGATCTCGTGCAACTGTTCAAGGTGCCCGTGTGTGATGTTCAAAGGATAAACTGGAAAGTTTTTGGTGTGGGTGGGTTGCCTAGGCAATGAGATCAGTATGATGCCAATTGGTTATAGAATAATTGTAATGGGTGAACCAATTGTACAGTGGGAAATAGACCCCGAGAATTATATAAATAGTGGCCAATTAATCAGTTATAATGTATGTAGATCGCAAGATTTCTACAATGACTGTTTTTTTATGTGCCGTTTCTGCTTTGATGTTTTCGTTTTGTGGAATGTCAGGCCCACCTTGGGGTGTGTTATAAATGGTGGCTTGTACTATGGGAGATCTAGTATTAAATGGATGTAGGGGCAGTGGTTAGAATAAAGATGTATCTCTAGCAGTGGAGATCAGTAAGGACTGGCCCCCAAATAAAAATATCAACAGTGAATATTAATTGGCTACAAGACAGTGTCAGTCTAGAGGTAGATCATAGATCTCCTACACAGGAAGAATGGATACTCCTTTAAAACTAATTTACTTATTTATTAACCCCCTTAACAACCCCCCATATACATTCACACCAATAACAATAATAATAATTACTTTACCATACTATCTTACATTAAAAGCCTTGGTCCACATAAGTAGGTTACAAGGTTTACACTGAGAACAAGCTAGGGTAAAGTACTACTAGTGAAGAACCTGAAGCTTGAGGCAGCTTAGGGTAGTGAGACCACGTGGTACCCTAACACAACACTAAGGGGTACCCAAAACACTGGCAAATACTACCCCCAGGTCTACACCAATCTTGCAATCCCAGAGTAGGCACAAATATACACACAATTACTTAGTAAACTAGACATAGAAATAGGTAAGGAAGAGTAGTAGGAAGGAGGAGAGGAGGTTCTTTCCACCATGGCGCCAGCACAGAGAAGGCCGCATCCAGCGTCCTGTCCAGGGCTCCTGAGTTGTTGTGGTGCCGGGAAGAGCCTAATTGATCGTGCAGCTATACACATTAAAAATCTTCACCGATGTACAATATTGTTTACTTTACTCGTTCTAAGGATAGTTAATAATTACTACAATATTATACTTAATCCACAACAAGCTCAAGAGTCTGAATGCTTTGTGAGCAACAAGATTCGTCCTACGTTTGGCAAGGAAGATACGAACAGATACACGTCGGCAAGCGTGTCAAATATAAGGTAGTTTATTTAGCTCAATTTGACCTCTGGTTTCCAATTGAGGAACCCAGGGTCGTAACAGTGTGGAGCGGCGCTCTCTTGCCCAGATCGCCAAAGTGTTAACAACAGCAAATGAGTGATTACAATGGATATATTTCAGGCAAAATGTGTGCTAATGTGCAATTTTAAGATTTAGGCTTGTATATAGGGTTATATATACTGTACAGTATATGTCTTGTGCAAAATGCTGTGCATATTAGGGGTTTTAGGCATAGTATATACTAACTATCTAGAAATCCAATATTTTGCTTGTAACTCAATATGTATGTGTGTGTTTTTACCTAAATAAATTATGTACAGTGTAATTTTTTTCATGATGTCCGTATATTTATACAGTGAAACCTTGGTTTTCAAATTTAATCCGTTACCAGAGATGGTTCGCAAACCAAAAATTTGTAAAGTGAAATGAATTTTTCCATAAGAAATAATGTAAATTGAATTAATCCGTTCCACACACTCAAAAAAATAACTTAAAAATATATTTTATACAGAATACTACTGATATTTTTCATACACAAAACAATCCGGTATAAATATAAACCATAAATAAAATAAGTGAACATTTAATTGCACTTTACATTTACTGAGGACTTGTCGGCATACGGGAGACGGTGAGGAGGGAGGGAGGAGCGGTGTTGGTGTATGGGGAGGGGGTGGTGGTGAGACAGTCCCCTGCTCGCCTTAAATGCTTTCATATCTGCATCACTGGTTCCAGATTTTCTTTTCACACATTTCACCGTCTCTGTTATGTGGCAGCCAGTCAGAACCAGTCACTTAGTCACATGTCAATCAAGCATTCACAGTCAAGACCAGTCACAGGCAGTTATAACCAAAGGCACTCAAGCATTCACAGTTGTGATAGCAACCAGTTAGGCATTTATGGTCAGTCACGCATTCAGTCAATCAGGCATTCACTTTCAATATGGCATTAACAGTCAATCAGGCAGTCACAGTTGCAACCAGTCAGTCAGTAAACAAAAAGAGTTTAATGACAAGCACTCAGGCAGTCTGCCTCAGGATCCATCAGCTGGTAGCAAGGAAGTCCACCGTATTAATACCGTCCAGACATGGCTGGGAGGGGTACAGCTGGGGGGGACAGTGTGGGGAATGAGGGGATGGAGGTAGTGGGGAGGGTCTGGTGTGCAGGATAGGGGGTGGTCCTGGGGAGGGACGGAGGTGACCAGTTCCTGTGTTAGTCCTAGTCAGAAGGTCGGCCACTCACACCACTGCCTCTGCTACCCACCAGTCCGGCTACTCAACTGCTTACCCACTCTCACCTGCCCATCCACTCGCCCTCTATGTGTTCCTCCCTTACATGATTCTTGGGCTGGTGTTTCTGAAAGATTTTCTTTTTCTTCCCCCCCCCCCCCCCCCCCTTCCCAGCCTCACCTCATTTCTACCTAAAATAATACCCTCTCCAGGCAAGTAAAATAACTTCTCCGGGCCTAGAGAAGGGCCTGACAGCTGAGTGGACAGCACTTCGGATTTGTAGTCCTGAGGTGCCGGGTCGATCCCCGGTGGAGGCGGAAACAAATAGGCAGAGTTTCTTTTACCCTGATGCCCCTGTTACCTAGCAGTAAATAGGTACCTGGGAGTTAGACAGCTGCTACGGGCTGCTTCCTGGGGGTGTGTGTAACAAAATGGAGGCCTGGTCGAGGTCCGGACCGTGGGGACGCTAAGCCCAAAAATCACCTCAAGATAACCTCAAGCCTAAACCTACAGCTAAACCACAAGAGGCAGAGACTTTTTACTCGTATTTTTGTATTTCCTGGAGACTAATTAACAATGTTTTTTGTCAAAAGAAAAAATAATTTTTTCTTAAAATTTGTTCTTGCATATCACGCGGATGTCAGCATTTAACAGTTATGTCATCTAAGAGTTAATATGTAAACATTTGTGACACAATCTCTTCTCCTATGTGTTTAAATACCCCTCTTTCTTTATTTGCTCTTATCCACAGTGCGAGGATGTCGACCAGGAAAGAGTGTACAGATGACAGAAGCAGAAGTTCGGGGCTTATGTCTCAAGTCTCGGGAAATCTTTTTGCAACAGCCTATCCTCCTTGAACTAGAGGCTCCCCTAAAAATCTGTGGTAAGTTTGGCATCACTGAACATCTGCCGAGGTAAAAAGAGTTCATTTAAAATGCATGTACAGTAGTAACTTTGGAAGAAAATGTTTATCATTAACAAATGTGAGACAATAATAAGAGACCAAGGAAATAGATGCTTCCTCTATTCATGGAAATGATCTGAAATGGATATATAGACAAGTTAGGCCAACTGGTTTATATGTTTGTGTGAAAGATTTTTTTGTTTTGTTACCAGAGTTATGTCTTTCCTCCGTCACATCTTTGTTGCAATTGCCATGGAATGCCAATCCGAGTGTCTGCCTGGGGGGGGGGGATCTTGGGGTGTCGCCTCCTGATTATTAATGCATCTTAATCTTTTCTTTATTATTGAAGTTATAGTATCACTCATGCTCTGACATCTCGATAATGAATATAATTTTGGATTCAATTTACTTGTTGGATAATAAGAATTATTACAGCATGTTCGTGTGTACTGTAATTTTTAAAAGTACAGATGTTTAAATTGAATATGAAGCCTGTCTTTTCTACAGGGAAACATATTGTTTTGAAAGCAAAACCATATGGAAATATTGAGGTATACCACATGTAAAATTTTAAATAGTAGTGTATATATAATTTACATAGAACATTGCTCTGATAATAGTGATAACAATTAATCATATCTTTAATCATTTGATATATTTAAAGAGTGTAATTTGTAGCTGTAGTTATCACACATCCAACAACACGAATGTGCTTTCTTCTGGTGTGGCCGTTGGTTATACAGTACTAGCTTACTCTAGTGTTAATGCCAGCTAGTCACATAGGCCCCCACCAAGGCTTAACAAGGGCCTGTATTTATATATAATTGGAAATTTTCCACAGGTCATTTATTATTGCATACACTTCTTCATTATTCATACACTTTGGGAATCTAATATTAAATTTTGATGTAATTAATGGGCTGTAATTAATTATACTGTATAATAAAGAGTTACCTGTTGTATTCACACTTCACTGCTTCCTTCATAGAGATGAATACTGTAGAAGGTAGTTTATCTAATGTGAAATTTAGTACTAAAACTTAAACATTCAATTAAAGTTAGTAACTTTACATACTCTGTACAATAACCTGCTGCAATTTGCTAGATATCTTTATACTTCTGTGCTTGCACTGTGCCCGCATAGTACAAAAGAATTGCGTCATCTTTTTACAAACAGAAGAGTTAGGGAAGTGAAGTTTGTAAGATTGGAGATCATACGACATTAAAACATACCATAGATCCCTAGGTCTATGATAAGACATTAAAACGTACCATAGACTACAAGGTCTATGATTCGACATTAAAACATACCATAGACCCCTAGGTCTATGATACGACATTAAAACATACCATAGACCCCTAGGTCTATGATACGACATTAAAACGTACCATAGACCCCTAGGTCTATGATACGACATTAAAACATACCATAGACCCCTAGGTCTATGATACGACATTAAAACATACCATAGACCCCTAGGTCTATGATTCGACATTAAAACATACCATAGACCCCTAGGTCTATGATACGACATTAAAACATACCATAGACCCCTAGGTCTATGATACGACATTAAAACGTACCATAGACTACAAGGTCTATGATAAGTTTTAATGTTACTGTATATGATTCCCAGCAGTGGAGCCGCTACTGTTGACATTGTGTCAACGTATCATTAGCCCTATTCACAAGTTGTCTTTGTCATATTTTCACCTTCAGCCTGCTCATACACATCCTGTAACCCGTCCTCTTACAAATTATGCCGCTTTTAGTCCGTATGCACACTCAGACTAAAAAATTACACACTGTAATTCAAAATGAAATCGGCTCTCGAAAGTGACATACTGTCCCGTTTTTTTGTTTTGGGTCCTCTAGCTTAGGCTGTTACGTTAGGAGAGGAAACTTTCGAATAACGCTTTTCATGACTTTTTGAAACCTTAGAAGACCTACCTGCCCTCCTAACCTACCAGAGGACCCTTAACTTGCTGTTTTTTATAAAAAAAAAAAAAATCCAAAATTTATTTTCAATTTTTCATTTTCAAATTATGTACAGTACTGTATTCACTTGATTTAACGGCCTATATGGGACTGAACTCAGGTCGTTAAATGGGGGGATCCGCTAAATCCAGAGTTGTTAAAATGTCTGTAATATTTCAAGTAACATTCAGGCCCCTATGGTATGTTTTATATAACGAAAATTATATAAATTCCAATCTGTAAATGTGTTCCAAGTTAGTGATGTGCCGATGATTAAGCCAGGTGTCAGCTGCTGCATGGCAGATGCGTGAACACGGTCTGATCAAGTCCAGATGGGTGGAAAAATTGGTTAATTCTTTTGTATTGCAAAATATTTATCATATGCAGGCGATGAGTCACAATAACGTGGCTGAAGTATGTTGACCAGACCACACACTAGAAGTTGAAGGGACGACGACGTTTCGGTCCGTCCTGGACCATTCTCAAGTCGATTGTGAGAATGGTGACCACAATCGACTTGAGAATGGTCCAGGACGGACCGAAACGTCGTCGTCCCTTCAACTTCTAGTGTGTGGTCTGGTCAACATATTTATCATACATTTGCAGAGACCAATATTGTTGAAAAAACACATTTAATATGTTGTAATACTGTAATAAAATTGATTAACTGACTGACATTTTATGAAGCTGTGAAGATTGTCAGCATCTGTGGCGTTTATTTTGTATTATTCGGTATAATGTAGTGCAATACTGTTCATGACCATATACTCTACGAGGATTTTATCATTCACTTCATAAAACTGTACAGTATGTACACTTATTCTCAGGCTTTCACTTCACATAACAGCTAGGCCTACTACTAATTCGCACCTGAGTAATGTACTGCACTTTAATAACAAAAAATGTTGACTGACAGTTGTAATGCACTTGTACAATTTTAACATTTCTGTATTTACATTGTGTATAGTATATCTTTTTGTCAAGGCTTAATTATTCATTAACACTTACAATACTGTACTCTATCACACTTTTTACATAAATTTATATGCATTTCAATAATATTTTATATCATTGTTAGGAAATGCTGCATGGTTTGTTGATGGGAATTCAGCATTGGCGGGTTCAGCATGGCTTGTAAGGCATTCGTTGCCAGTGGATGCTGCACAGTTTGTTGATGGAAATTCAGCATCAGTGGGTGCAGCATGGCTTGTAGAGCATTCATTGCTGGTGGATGCTGCACAACTTGTTGAATTCTCAGCAGGTGCAGCATGGCTTGTAGGTGAAGATTAGATGCTTGTAGAAGTATGGTCGAGGCTGGTGGCTGCTTACCATGTGAGGGTGCGCCAATGCCAAAACAAACCCAATACTGACCCACGGTTTTATCAACCACCAGACCGGTATATGAGGCTCCAGATACTGGTCTCCAAAACCAGTCACTAGAACCAGCGGAATGCTAAATAAGAAGCCGTTAAATCGAGTGGATACTCTACGGCCTTTTTCGGCCATAGTGCATACGAGCGAGAAGCGACGTAATGTGTAAGAGGATGGATTGCATCCCGAGCCATCTTGGTCCTTGGACAAAGTTTAAGTTTTCTCTCCTTGGTTCTTGGTTTTCTGTTGCCCCAAGTTCAAGTGTGGTCTAGAGCAGACACTTGCGAGATACTGTACCAACGCTCAGTGCGCTCAACTCACACCAACGTATCACCTGTGTACTTCTGTATATTCGACCAAATATATATATATAGTATCTTAGTGTCTGTGTTTATTTGTCACCAAACTTTACGTAACAATAGAACCGTTACATTGGTTATCTCCATGATTATTTCTACAAAGCTGTGTGTTTGTTGGCCCTTGCTTATTATGGTTATCAAGTTGGGGAACTTCACTCTCTTTCAAAAGCGGGGTTTTGGTCTTTTGGTCCTGGGTGTTTTCTTCATTTTCAGCCCTCTCTCGATTGTTCCATCTGCATACACTCCCGAACTCAATCCACCAACCTCGATACGAGGTTGGTGGGGTATCGAAATTGGTAGAGTATCGAGGTTGGTGGATTGAGTTGGGGAGTGTATGCAGATGGAACAATCAAGAGTACTGCTTCACATCCTTGCGGTTTACAAGTCTTGGGGCCTTGCTGTCCTATTTTCTATTTTTTGTTTACCTTGCCATTTGTATGATTGGTTCACCCACATCTCTGATGGTCTTCTCTTGGTTAGAGTGATGTACAATCCCCAGCTCTTGTATCTCTCTCGAGAGGGCCAAATTTTGGGCTCTTGATTCCTAATAGAGGACATATTAGAAGAGGCCTATGATATGACATGCAAGGGCCTGGCATGTATAAAATTGAGTGGAGCTTGCCAGATAGCAAGCACCAAGCAGCCATCAGAAAAAGATGTTTCATTACATTCAGTGCTGTTTTTTTTTATGTATAATGCAATATCTAATACTGTATTTGTATATTTTTGCTATTAAATACCTGTTTAAATGAATTGCTTAAAGTTTCAGCTAGCTTGTTTTCTCATGATCAAAGGAAACAATTTTTCATTGAGCTGGAGATATTAGACTGAAATGTGATTAATGCAACCCATCCTCCTGTTTAGGTAGTTTATGTTGTAATGATCATTAACATTTTCGCGCTTTAGATTAGAGATAACTCGTCGCTGTTTTTTCTTACGATTCCGCATAACAGCCTACTTTTCTCGTCAATCGAAAAAATATTTCTATAAATTCCATTTTTTAACCGAAATGGATGGGGATACTTTTGTTTTGTAGAGAATTTATTTGCGAATTTTTTGGTACCAGAATGAATATTATATCACATAAACTTCTATGAGTAAAAAAAAAAATACACAAAGTATGTTTGGGGGTGTGGCGGGCGTGTGGCAGTGGGTTCCCTTTAGCCGTTGATATATCCAACAACGTGGGAAATATTTGTATGTGTTATGTATATGTCTGTGTAGGGAATTTTACTGCGATCACTGTCATACAAATTATAAAATGTTTCAACAAGTATAAACATGACAAACATCAAACGAACGAAAACAATGCGTTCGTTTCTGCCGCGAACGCATACTGAGCGACGTGGTTCTATATTTGGCGCTTCTCTTACACATGCTTTGTACAAATGTTATACAGTTCATCTTATAGAAAATTTTATTGCGAACACATTGGTATAAAAAAAGAAATACGTACATAGAAAAGTAGGGCCAGGAAACGTATAAACTTTCCAAGCATGATTTCCCCCCTGTGTTTTCGCCAGTGCGCTCGCGGCTAACTACTCTCCACTTCACACACTCTTGCGGGTGGGCAATTACCTATATTAAACATTCATATGCATATGTCCGTGTAGATAATTTTATTGCGATTCCAATGACACCAAAATTAGCGATGTAGGACAACTGTAGGCTTCGCAACCATTAAGAGAGTGGAAACATTTTGTTGCTGTTTGGCGCTCTCGGCGAGTGATCTGCATAGTTTTTTATTTGGTGTTGATACTCCTTATGCTTGGGCGGCATTTTATAGCTATGCTCTTATAGACAATTTCATTGCGAACACAGTGATACCAAATTTAAATACGTGCGCCTTCAATTGTTGTCAGGACAGTCAAAAGAGTGTACACTTTTTCGGTCTTACCGCGTAGGCGCGCGAAGTGCCGAAAGCATCTGGGGTATTGTTTTTTTTTTGAGCGCCGAGAGCGCGAAAGTGTTAATAGTCAGAATTCGTTTGTACTTGGCTTTTAGATAGTAGTATACTGACTAGTAAGGAATTCTTTTAAAATAAATGAAACTAAAGCACAAACTTAAATATTCCTAGGCCTGGTATAGCACACACACACACACGTACTATATTAGGCTTCAGATATCGTGTATTAGGTCTAGGGAGGCTACGATAGGTTAGTTTAGTTTGTCAAAGCTACGCAAGCAAAAAATAGTTTTGCGGTTTGTCCAACTCAATAGTTCAGATTGCTACATTCTAATTTTGTTGGTCGTCGGTATATATACACAGTAGTATGGTCCTCATCATCACTAAGTACTGTACTACCAAAACAGGAGGATGGGCTGAATTATTGAGGAGTCTTCGATAAATATTAATGTAAAATTTCACATTTTCGTTGATTCTGCATGGAGAGCACTGAAATAACTTTTGTGGATTAAAATAAATATTTTTTAAATATATATAGTACCTGTACTATAATGTTCATTATGTTGTTACCTTTTATTTGAACGTACATAACTCTCACAAGCGAAGTGGCGAGAAACACATTCATAACCAGTTTCCAGCAAACTTCAGTACAGTATAAAAATAATGTATACACCTGGCTTCACAGGTGATATCCACGGACAGTACACAGACCTGCTGCGGCTGTTTGAATATGGCAGCTTCCCTCCAGAGTCCAACTACCTGTTCCTCGGAGATTACGTAGATCGCGGCAAGCAGTCACTTGAAACTATCTGCCTTCTACTGGCTTACAAGATCAAGTATCCAGAGAACTTCTTCCTGTTAAGAGGCAACCATGAGTGTGCATCAATCAACAGAATTTATGGTTTCTTTGATGAGTGTGAGTGCCTAGTTAATTGTGGATTAGTTTAAGTGCGGTGAAAATATATTGATGTATTTTTAACAGCCTTTGAGTTTTGTTTTTCATGATTAAATGTTCAATCAAACTTGTAAGATTATTACTGCCTGATCAAAAGGAGTTGAAGCTTTTTATAATTAACTCCTTTTAGTTAGATAATTAGAGGTGATTTTTTGCTGCTGATTGTCAGTTAATTTTTTTTTTTTTTTTATGCTGGACATATTATGTCATGAGCAAGTATTTTACTCAGTAATTCACAATTGCCAGGTCGACGAAGGTACGGAACGAAACTCTGGAAGACATTCACAGACTGCTTCAATTGTCTTCCCATTGCTGCCATTATTGATGAAAAGATATTCTGCTGCCATGGAGGCTTGAGCCCTGACCTTCAGAGCATGGAACAGATCCGTCGTATCATGCGGCCCACCGACGTACCTGACACTGGTACGTAAATTATTTACCCCAAACCTTTAGCTTTGAATAGGCATATCATTTAAACGCAAACTATTTAGCTATTTAGCCATTGTTGTTCAAGTCACTTCTCTCTTCCTTATGCAGGTCTACTGTGTGACCTATTATGGTCAGACCCTGACAAAGACGTGCAAGGCTGGGGCGAGAATGATCGTGGCGTTTCATTCACATTTGGCGCTGATGTTGTCAGTAAATTCTTGAATCGTCATGACTTGGATTTAATATGCAGAGCGCATCAAGTAAGGATGTACATGGCTTGGTAAACATATAAAATTAAGAAATGCATTATTGAAAAAGTTCCTGATGCAAGTATTGCACGTGGAAATATTTGTCATAAAAAGTTATTTGGAAAAGTTGTACTTGAATTACCCTCTTGTAAGGTCAAGTTAAACTGCTATAATTGATTCCATTCAATTACTGTATAATAAAAATTAGATATTGAGAAGGGAATATACATTAGTTTTAGTTGTGCTGCAATACAGGGTGTGTTAAGCAATACTGTATTACAGAATAAGACAAGAATTTTCTTTTACCATTTTATTTTCTGTTGGGATCCCCTTCAGCTACCTGGAGCTACCGGGCTAATATGCAATTCATTAGACCAGGGCATTAGTCACAGGAGTTCAGTCTACCGGGGACCATGAGCCAGAACCTGACCCCCCTCAGAGAGGCACAGGGAGCATTGGCCCTGGAAAACCCACCCATTGTTATCGACCAGGGTTAGGCACCCAGAAAGGTATGCATAACAAAACAGAACCCCCACATAGTAAGAAAATTGCAACCGAAAACTGAACAGAAAGGCAGAACTTCCTCCAATCCCATGGAAGCAATCAAACAAGCAAATGTTACACCCCACTGCCACGACGTTCATCCACGCAGCACCCCTGGACCCCCCCCCCCTTTGCACTGGCGACCTAGCCATTTTAGTTCATCAGCTAATGCAATCTCTGTTCATTTCCCTGTCCATAGAATGGACGGTCGACGCCGACTCCTTCAGTTGACTCTGCCAGACATACGGGCTCCCGGAGGTGGACCTCTTCGTGTCGGCTTGGTCAAGGCGTTTCCCGATACATGTGGCCCCCTTCCCTGACTGCAGAGCTTTCGCAGTGGACGCCTTTCAGCAGGACTGGTCAAGGTGGGGGTTACCTGTACCTCTTTCCCCCCCAGTCCAATTGTTGCTTCAGGTTCTGGCTCACTTGGAGTCTTACCACGATAGAGTAGGGGCCACTTGGCCCCTTGGTGGCCGGCCCAGCCTTGGTTTCAGGCGCTGCTTGCTCGGTGTCCGAACCGGGGCATTTTCCGTGGCTCCGCCTCTTCCAGCAGATCTGACAAGTCCGATGTATGGCTGGTTCGGTCTTCTCCTCCGCTCTTCACGTCTGGTCCTTTTGACATGGGCTTATTACCATTTGTATGGTGATCGGGTGACTTCGTTGATGGTGTCCCACCTGAGAGCTTCGTCTCAGTGGTATAAAATTTCCTGGTGTTCTTTTTGCCATTTTCTCTCATCGTAGGTTGTCTTCTATTTCTGACTGGGCTGTCTTGTCCTTTTTGTCTTGCCCCCCTTTTTCAGTACAGTACTGTCATTTAATGCCTAATACTGTCGTCTCGTATTGTGCGGCGTTGGCAGAGCCGCTGCAGCTTGCATCCAGGGTGGACATCGCTTCTGCCCCGTTCCATAAGCTTTCTCGTGCTTTGTTTTACCTCGGGCCTGCTCAGGCGCCGCCAGAGCCGTCATGGTCCTTGAACAGGGTGCTGTCTCTCCTATCTCTCTTTCTCCTCGGGTGCGTGGTGGCCCCTTCGGTTCAAGTTTGTTTTTCCAAAGCTCTATTTTTGTTGGCATTGACTTTTGGGGGTCAAGTCGGTGAGCATCATACTCTCCTCCGGCGCAGAGGTTTCTGCTCCTTCAGTCATGGTGGTTGGTTTGTTTGGTTACAGCCTTTTTCCTCTTTTCTGACGAAGAATGAGGCGGCTACTTTCTGAAGATGGGTCATAGATGCTTGATTGGTCAGGCAGGGGTGCATCATGTGTTGTGTCCAGTTGTGGCTCTTCGTCGTTACCTGCGAGCCTCTTCTTCTGGCCAGCTCCAGGTAGCTGCCCATTAATTAGTCAACATTCATGGTCCTGGGATTTTGCTTTGGGTCACAGGTTGCAGCCAGTCGTCTCACCTTTAAGTTGAGGAGCTTGTGGCGGCTGCCTCCCGGGTAAGTCCCTCTCTTTCTTATCTTTGGTTATCTCGCTCCAGGGAGCCGAGAAAACCAGCATTGAATGTAATGAATCCCCATTTTCTGAGTGAGCCTCGGAATCTCCATGGCACCCTCCTTCCCTTTGGTTGGTAGTTTTTGCATTGTTTTGATATTCAGTGTCCGAACTAGAATGACTGGGTTGCCGGCACGGGAGGGTGGTTCGCCACCCGCCACCTCTGCTAGAGGCAGAGGTTGTGTGCTCTGGCTCCAGTGGTCTTTCAGCACTGTGCTTCGAGTGTGGTGGCTGTCTTCCAGGGGTGTGAGAGCCAGGAGTTATTCTACAGTACTCGGGCTGCATGCGCCTAGGGTTACCTTCCCTAGGGTCCCTGTAAGTACTGGTTCTGCCTCTGTTGGGCTGTTTAAGTGCTCAGTTTTTTGGCCCCCCTTTGGGTGCTTCAGTGTTTTGTCTCCCTGATTTACCTTAGGATTAACTTAACTTAGGAGTCTCCCAGGTCGTCCGCAGGATTATTAGGGCTAGCCTGCCTGCGGTCTATCCCCGTGCTCATGACGTTCGCAAGTTCGCTGCTCTTGCCGCCGTCCTTGGCAACATGTCCTGGGCTGACACTCGGGTGCAGGGATTTTGGTGGTCGAACAGGGTCCTTAGTGCTCGTTATCTCGTGAACTTTCCTGGGCCTAGTCAGGCCTGTGTCGCGTTGGGTCGGCGGTTGCAGACAGTTGTCTCGACTTCGAGTTGAGGAGTGAGCAGCGTTCGCCTCCCAGGTAAGTCCCTCTAATTTTTCCCTCTGTGGGTAGATCGCTCTGGGAAGCCGAAGGGGCTCTCCCCCAAAAAACCAGTGTTGAATGTAATGAAACACCATTTTCTGGGTGAGACCTGGAGGCTCCCCGGCATCCCTGCAGTCGGCGGTTTTTCAGGTGTTTAGACATCCAGCCTCAGAAACTAGGGTGGATAGCCAGCATGGGGTCTGGGGCTGCCCCTTCCCCCTCCCGGGGAGGGGGGAGCTGCACAGACAGCAGCGTGGCGATGTGTGACGTCATGCTCGTTTGCTCGTTTCTTTTAGGGGAGTTCTATCCACTTGTTCGGCTTTTGGTAGCAAAATTTTCACCAGAATAGGGGTTTGTTTTGGGATGCTTACCTTTCTGGGTGCCTGATCCGGTCGATGGCAGACATAGAATGCTTCCAACCACACGAGGGTTTCTATAGACCATTGCTCCCCATGCCTCTCTGAGGGGGCCAGGGTCTGGCTCGTGGTCCCCGGTAGACCTACAGAACTCCATTACACATGACTGATGCCAAAGTCTGACATTAACATATCAGCCTAGTAAGCTCCGGGGAGCCTCCTGGTCTCCCAGAAAATGGCGTTTCATTACATTCAATGCTGGTTTTTTATAGTCATTTGAGCTCTCTTGCTTTGAGTACAACAATAAATTGTATTATATTGTACTCTGTATCTTTGATCCCTTGCTTCATCTTAGAATTTCTTCATTGGAAATTATCTTGACAGTGTACAGCCATTCAAAGCAGTTTCCTAAGCATTTGACAAAGTTTTCACTTGCTTATTTAGTAATCCCCTACTCAAAGCAATGGGAACTTGCTTCCAGTGAGACACAAGATTGCGTGAAAATGTGCATACTTTATTCAGCAAGCATCGTTAAGCTATACAGTACCTTACCTGTAGTTAAAAGAAATGTTGAAAATACAGAAGGGTGTAATTAAACATAAAGGTAGATAATAAGGGAATAACAAATATACTAAAGAATAGAGAATAACTAATATGGGGGACATTAAACAAACCATGGGGTTTGTGGTTCAAACAAGGGGCCAGATTCACGAAAGCACTTGCGCAAACACTTACGAACCTGTACATCTTTTCTCAATCTTTGACGGCTTTGTTTCCAATTATTAAACAGTTAATGAGCTCCGAAGCACCAGGAGGCTGTTTTTAACAATAACAACAGTTGAATGGGAAGTTTTCATGCTTGTAAACTGTTTAATAAATGTAACCAAAGCCATCAAAGATTGAGGAAAGGTGTACACGCTCGTAAGTGCTTTTGTGAATCTGGCCCAAGGCTATTAGAAAATAGTGGCCAGCAGGTAAAGGGGCTGTGAAACACTATTTAAAGTTAAGAAAATGTGCTCGGCTTTGGAGAGGTGGTGCACCGTGTTTATAGTAAAGGAAATAGAAGCCACGTTGCAAGAAATAATTTGATCTCGACTTGTTCTGAAATTGGCACATTTGTGGGGTGACCAGTGCCAGCTGGTTTACTGTGCAGTATTTTGTTTTAAGTTTGATATCTAGACCGCTTGGTTTAGGTGTTGCATCACACAAGTTCGGTAGTGCTGGCACACAAATATCCTGGTTCTGAATTCTGTATGAATTAGTATGTTTTAGGTGTAATATTACAAATTTAAGATATTTAGTATATACTGTAATTTGGTGTGTCGTTATCGCTGTACTTGTTCAGAAGCTCTGTTGGGGTACTAAATGTACACCAACAGGGCTTCCTAATAATTAATTAATGACTCAAAGTAAATATTAAATTACTGTACTGTACTTAATTTTGTAATTTTATACCCAAAACTTATTACAGTACAGTAATTCATACGAAGCCTAGAATTAGGATATTCAGTTTGTTTTGAGTCATCAGTGATGAGCTATAAGTAATGGTTAATGCAATTACTTCTTGTAGCATGTTAAAGATAGCAGGTACTTTGTGTGGGGTACTTTGATCACTATTCATTTTTGCAGGTTGTTGAAGATGGCTACGAGTTCTTTGCTAAGAGGCAGTTGGTCACATTGTTCTCGGCCCCAAATTACTGTGGGGAGTTTGATAATGCTGGAGGGATGATGTCTGTAGATGAAACATTGCTCTGCTCCTTTCAGGTAAAATATCAACTTGGCTTCCTCTAGTCCTGCTAAATGTTGAGTGATTACATCGGAAATCATAATGGTGTAATATTTAAAGTTAATTCGTGTACATGAATATCGGAGAAGATGTCACTTTCCAAAAATTGTATATCATAGTCTTGTCAACTGGAGAGGAATGTTCAAACCACCACCATGAAGTTTTCTTTATAGGCTTACTCTCTCTCTCTCTCTCCTTTTTTTTTTTTTTTTTTTTTCTGAAACTTTCCAGCTCTAGCACTTTGACTTTGCTCAAATAGGTCTTGATTTTGTAGGCAAATTGTGTTGTAATACTAATGCCGACTCTAGCCTTATGAGTCACGACCTTGCCACCTTAAAAATGGTATTACTCTAACTCCTTTTCTTACAGGTGTATCCTCAAACTATACAAAGAGTACTCTGCTTCCAACATAACGATAATGGGGTACAGAATTATAAACAATGTAAGCTAACTATTTTGTGAAGCATACACAAGGGTATGATTGAGTCACCACAGGGCTCTATGCACTGTAGACAAACAGTTGAAGCACACTGTTGCATAAATGTGTACTGGCACATAGCATTTATTTATTTTTGTATACAAATGTTATGAATCTTGGAAAATTTACAGAATGGGACCAGGTGAGAATATTTTCAGTAATACAGTGAGTGAGTTTTGGATGAAAAGACTGTTGTTACTTGCCAAGGAGAAATGCAATACATAAAATAATACAGTAAGCCCTGGATGTTTCTGTGCTGAGGCTTCCCCTTGAATATTCCCTGAACCAGAGCCCTTATGGTCCACCACCTTAGACTTGTATTCCTAGGTAAGATCTCAATTTGACCTTGATCCCTGCCATGACATTGCAAATAGTGTTGCTAGGGAAATTAGGGAAAAAAGGCTGGCGAGGCTTAACCCTTGGGAGGCGGTTGGGATTATAGCCTGCAACACTGCTAGGTGCAAGAAAAATAAATCAGATTTTGTTTTGTCTTCTAAGCTCGTTAAAATGTGCTCCCCGATCACGGGAAAAATAATACAAATATCGTACGTGATATATTTTGGCCGCAATTGGGGCAAGGAAGTCTGGCAAAGTTGAGGTGTTGACAGGGTACACATCACGCAGCGGTCTGCTCCACCCATGTTGTCAGGTGGGAGTTGCCACATATTATTACTATACCTAATTATTTAAATTTATCATATTGATTGATTTTTTTTTTTTACATTATTATTCAATAGTGTGTAGTGTGATATATTTATATAATAAAATGTGTGAATCATCTCTGTACTCAAAAGTATGGAGTGCATATTAGTGATTCAATTATTGTATTCATAAAACAACAACCAAATAGTTTTGCTGTTATTATACTATATACACACACATTATATATAAGTATCTGCATGTTTTGTTCACCATAACGAACCATTAAGTTGGTATGGTGAGTCCAAACAACAAGAGTGGGCACCACACCAGCCAACAGATGCCACTTCCTTCCCACCCTCCTTCACCAACACCTCACCTGCCAACATTCCTCCTCCCACCATACTGTTTTTGCTGTTATTACACTATAGTAGTAGGCATCCATCAATCCCGTGGGGTTATGCAGTTGTGCCCTGGGTGTCTAGTTGGATGCAGCGCCTGCTGTGGCTGTGAAGGCCAATAAAAAATAATGAGCCATTGCCAAGGCGATGCTGGAGTGTCCTCTCCAGGGCACAGGCCTGGGCAGTAATTATGAGGACCAGCTGTTGCCCATGCAGCAGATCCACCCTCTCCACGCCACCGATGTGATCCAAGGGAAGGGCAGACGCCGATACGCTTGGCACCAGTGTCGTCGCAGGAGTTGCCAGAATGTAGCTGTAAACAGCTGCAAACGGCCTTAGGGACTCCGACTCCGGAATTTCCTCAGGGTTGACTCCCGAAGTCTTTCCCATGAGTGGATTTAGCCGCAAGACAGCAGAGGTTTGAATTCGGGGTTTTCCTTCCCCTAAATGAGCTGCCTTCCCAGGCTAATGAGTCCCATCTGCCCGAAGCAACTGGTTTTAAGGCACCAGAGGCCCACCTTCACCCCTTCTCCTGTTGGTAGAAGCAGTTCCGCCAGGCCTAGAGGCTAAGCCACACGTGCAGGCCAGAAGCTGGACTTGGTTGTCAGAGGCTATTTGAGATGCACGCTTCAGGGGCACTTTACAGGCTGTGGGGAGCTTATCTCTACAACCCTTTCCCTGGCTATAACAACCCTTGGAACAAAAAAATTAATAAGGGGAAAGAAACTCTACCCATTTGTTTGTGCATCCACCAGGAATCGAACTCGAGCACTTAAGACTTTGACCTGCGAGCGTTGCATACTGGGTTTTCTGCCCGCAGCCAAAAGTGTATTGGGCTTGACCTGTGGACTGTGAGGCCGCGGAGGACACTTCCCTCACCTGGACTACTGCGGCTCCTATATTTTTTTTATTACACTATATACACACATTATATATAAGTATCTACATGTGTGTTCGCCATAATGAACCACTAAGTTGGTATGGTGAGTTCAAACAACAAGAGTGGGCTACCAAACCCAGCCAGCCCTCCCTCCCTCCCACCTTCAACACCTTACTCGCCAACATTCCTTCTCCCACCATACTGTTTGTGGTTTTATTACATTATATACACACAAATTATATATGTATATGGTTTTATTACATTATATACACACAAATTATATATGTATATGGTTTTATTACATTATATACACACAAATTATATATGTATATCTACATGTTTTATTCACCATAATTGTACAGCTAAGCTGGTATGGTGTCCAAACAACATAGTGGCCAGTAGACAACGCTACCTTCCTCCATCACCAACACCTCCCTCACCAAATTGACTCCTCCCAACATACTCCTTTTGCTGTTATTACACTATATATACACACATTATATATAAATATCTACATTTGTGGTCACCATAGTGAACCACTAAGCTGGTATGATGAGTCTAGACAATAACAGGTTGCCACACAGAGTCAGCAGACGACACCACCTCTCCCTCCCTCCTCGCCAAGATTACTCCTCCCACCATACTACGCACATCATTAATTCTCACCACAATCCTGCTGCTATCTGAATCTGGTCACATTTACAGGTCACAAAATCCTGTAAATGAAGAATTTTCCACAAGTTTATTTTGTAGAGGAACATGAAAAGTCGTTTGAAGATTGTGTGGATGAAACAATGGCAGTGTGCAGTGAACATCTTGAACTGCATTGTGTTCACTTACATCTGAACATTGTACACAGTCTTTATCACAGTCAGGCTCTTCTGTAATACTATCAAGGCAAAATAATACCAGTTACATATATATTTTGACATTTTAGGTGATGCTGTGGTAACAAACTGAACGGCAGTGCTGTTAGCTCATGCTGCATATGCCAGCCTTGGTTGCTTACTCAGTAATGAGGATTTCACGCCCAGGAATGATGGCCACGATTTTTTTTTAAATGTCGTCTGTTTACAAGTGCCCTGAGAAAGCTGATGTGAAACCTGTGTAGCCGTGGGACTTGTAAATCTTATGCGGTACTTCCAACCATACATAGCTGTGGTGCGCCGTTCCACAATAGTTATTCACCCCAGCTATAAATGTATTGTGCCCTTTAAGGGTTAAATCTTGCATGGTATTCTCAGTCATGTATTCTCAGCAAGGTACAGACACAGAAGCTGTGTCTGTACCTTGCATCATGCAGGTGAACATTCGATCCCCCGACAGTCCGAAGGGTTGGACTCGACAAGCACCTTGAAAGGATGCCTGATTAATCAGGCTGTGACACGTATGTCAGGCTGCAAGCAGCCACAACGAACAGCCCGATTGATCAAACCAGGCAAACATTAATTGGTAACAAAGAATATGAAATACTGCACTGCTTACAACTGGTTTGGAAGCTGTGCTCTCTGCCAGCACCTGTCACCACAGGTGTTGGATTAGTCTAGGGTTATTTCAAATGAACATGTTTGTTGATTGTCTTTCTTTTGTTCCACACGAGCATGGTGTTGAATTTAAGGTAATATTTTGACAGCTAGAGCACTGGAAAAATACATAATACATGGAATTATGCACTAAATAGCCATAACATGTCACAAAAAAGTTCCAAACATTGCTAACAGAAATAGTGATACAAAATTTAAAAAATTAAACCAAAATATTGTAATTGTACACGTATAGAAATTAACAATAACTTAATTATAGAAATTAACAGTTGCAAGGTAACATGCAACTGATGACACGTTGCAATAGATAAATGCCATCATGCTGACGGACATAAAGGCTAAATTGCAAGGATTCTGAATCGGGAATCTTGTCTAGGACTTTGGAGTTAGATAGATAGTACTAAATTGTCTAGTATAAAGCAATAACCTGGTGAGTTATGCAACACACATGTATTGTAGTGGTGACAGAAACAGACAACAAAATTGCAAGGTCTCTGCATGTGGAAGCTTGTCTGGGATTTGGGAATTAGAATGGTAGCATTAGACATTATAAAGCAATAATCTTGACATTTTCTTCCCAACCATCAGATCTTAAAACCATCAGAGAAGAAGGCGAAGTACCAATACAGTGGACTAGCCCAAAACCGTCCCAACCCTCCTAATCGGCAACAACGGCCGCAGCAGAAAAAATAGTTTGGGTGTCGAAAATAAGAGGTGAGCCTAAGTGGTGTTTGTAATAGCAGCAGTGGCAGTGGTTGCAATTGACGTTTCGTCACTTGCGTCGAATGGCTGCTTTCTCAGTACAGTACACGATAAAAACGACAGCAGTCCTCTCTAAACAAGATGCTCATCGTCTAAGAGGGCCTTACCTTTATATTGGAGCGGTCACTGAAGATAGACTATAGAAGCAAAATATTTTCCTCAGTAGTATTATAAGTGGCAGATAATCAGTAGTGTGATGTTAACAATACTGGTAATTTGCGCAGATTTATAAAATGATTGACGTTGCATTTATGTAATGTAATCGTAGGTAAAGAAAAAGTCTCAGTATTGGGTGTTGCAACAGTCTTGATTGTATTTTTCTCTCATTCCTTTCCCCAAGCATGAGTTTTTTTGATAGCGCTGTTCTTAGTTTTTTTTGGAAATAACTATTAAAAGATTAAGTTTGAAAATAATTACAATTTAGATGACGATACTATTGACTAACCATCTAAACTTGTCTATATATACATTATTTTTCCAAAGTATGATACAATATTTCTAAGGCTAGTCCAGATGCAGTCATAGAGTGAATGACTCATTACATATGTGCAAAGTTAGGCATTCATATTCTGATGGGGGGCTCACAGCCGTTCAGGCCAGTTCTGACTCTTTAAACCCATATTTAGTAGTACACAAGAGTCAAGAAACACAGCCCTGATAACATGCTATCAGATGCACTCTTAGCATGTTCCAGCTTTTCACAGCATCTCTGTAGTATTGAGTGTCAATGAGATTGCTAAAGCCTGGAATATGCTATTGATGATACTTTAGTTAGCATCATTGTCTTATGAGTGCTTTGCTTCTTGTGTGTGTGTATGTATGTGTGTGTGTGTGTGTGTGTGTGTGTGTGCGCGCGCGCGCGCTACTAATGGGTCTCCAAGACCCATACGTGTGTCTATGGCTCAATTCTGAAATCTGGCATGAGATCGGCCTTTTTTTCCATGTAGTACAGTTGGTTAATTGCAATTTGATGATATTCTTCAGTTCTGGAGTTATTTTATACTTAATAATGTTCATGCATGATATTTTCATTTTGTCAGATGAGTGGCTTTTCTTACATCTCTGGTCCATATTGGCTTGATAAAAATTAAGCATTGATCATGTTTTCAGTCCAGTTAGTTTACTGCTACTCAATCTGTTCTGAAATAGTTTTATTGTATAATTGGGGGATCTCATGCAGCATTGTGGAATGTGGGCCCTGGAAAGAGAAGTCTTGTCTTCCCCCTGTATTATTTTTCCTGATGCATATGTTGTAGAATTGCCAAGATTGAGTTGTTGCCTTGTTCCAGCAGTGGTCATACAGTATATCATGCCATCATATGCAAATTGGTGATTTAACTTGGACTCTAGGGACAAAAATGAATCTGTTGATTCTTACCTTGCACCACCGATCTATGCACCAGTAAGCTGAATAATATCAGACGAAAACCGTGTTGAAAATTCTTAAAGGTGCCGAAATTACAATCCACAGTATTTATCACGTGCTAAGAAGCTTATCTTCAATAGCTTTTGTTGAGAGGCACATTTTACAGGTCATAAATTTTATGAGAAAAAGTATTTCTTTAGGTATATATGTGTGTGTGCGTGCAATCCTAAAATTCCTTTATGTAATGTAATGGCATGTGCATTTTTAACCATATGCTAAACTTTCTCGAATGAAAACCAGTGTGAAGAGTGTTCTCCTCATCTGGGAAATTTTCATATGGTACTTAGTCTAGACTTGGGTTTATGTTATTCCCTATGTCAGTGATGTTACTACAGTTAAACAAACAAAACAAAAAAAAAGCTATTATTCTCATGCATGTGTGTTGCAAGGAGAAATAGTCCTTCCACACGTAATTATATCTTGTTTTCAGTTTTAGACAGTTTGTAGTGGGTGAAGGCTGGAACTTGGCAAAAATGTGAAAAAAAAAAAACAAATCAAAAAATTTATTTATTGCACAAACAGTGTTGAATTAGATAGCAGTTCCACCTCATAAAAGATATGTGCCTCATGTAGTTACCTATCAGACTGAATATGTCTTTCAATAAAATTACAAAGTAGTCAAATTTATTATATATATATATATATATTTATATATATATATATATATATATATATATATATATATATATATATATATATATATATATATATATATATATATATATATATATATATATATCTATATATATTATTGTATATTATAGTTCATACTAATCACTATTTGGGGTTCATTATAAAACATATATCATTTGTTATTAATTGGTATCTCCATTTCTACACTATCCAGAGTAAATACTATACACATTCTTGAGTTCAAACTATTAAGAGCAGTGTCCACCCAATTTGAGTTTCACTACAAAAACACGGTAAGCAGTGATTTTAGTCCTGTCATACAAAAAAAAAAATATTTATTAATTATTTTCTTAGTGAAAAGTCTTGTGAAAGTTTAAGGGGGAAACATCCATCCGGCCCCGTAAGGGTGTTCAAGTGAGGATGCATTTGAAGATATCCAACGTTCTTCCAGAAGCAACACATCTTGTAAATAAAGAATAGTAAAACACTGAAAGGTAAAATATAATATAATTTTGATCATAATAATAGTAATAAAAATTTACACATAAGAAATGCATTAGTGTGTATAAAGGAATATATATATATATATATATAATCTAAAATCTAAAATATACACACTGATCCAAGTATGCGGAAAAACCACATGTGAAAAATAGAGAATGCTAAACGCGTTTTCGGCTCAATTCGTCTTCATCAGAGCCTTTTAGAATCCAGAATAGAGAATGCATTTAGCATTCTCTATTTTTCACATGTGGTTTTTCTGCATATATATATATATATATATATATATATATATATAATATATATACTATATATATATATACATGCATACACAAAATTTATAAATGTATATATAATAAATTACCACAAATACGAAAAACAAATACAGTTCGGGCGTTCTCTTTGCCACCCACCAGACTTGTTTTCTCGTGTTGCAGACAGAGAGCCAGTTAGGTTCGTGCAGGGGTCCCTCCTAGCCTAACACCCGACCTTCCTCAGGATGCACTCCATAACAGTTGCCGAATTCAAAGGTTGTTATTTAAGCCAAGGTGAACGGTCATTAGGGGTAACTAAACGTGCCAACATGTCGCGTTCTGCCCATGAATCAAACTCGGGATTGTTCGGTGTTGAGCTGGTTGTGCTGCAAATGCTGTACGCTAAAGGTGTCCTCGCTGCCTCGTGGCTAAAGTCGTGATGTTTCTAACTGAACTTGACTAGGATTCATAAAGTGTTTGAAGTGTCCACTTATGTGAAACCTGTGCATCTTTCCTCAGTCATTGCTGCTTGGGTTTCACTTATTAGTAAACAGTTTAGGAGTGCTGAAGCAGGTTGTTATGAGATTGTCTTATTACAATATTAACCTTGGGGTGCAAAGATTGGAAACTTGTAAACTGTTTGAATAAATGCAAACCAAGCAGTCATCTTCTGGAAGGATGTACAGGTTTCATATGTGGAAACTGAAATGCTTGATGATTTCTGGCCCGAGAGAGAGAGAGAGTGAGGAATGACTTGCTGTTATAGGTGTTCGGGGGAGGGGGATAATGTGCTACACACTTTTGCGTTCATCGCAGGGATAGATCTCTTGGCTTTGATGGTATCTAGCAAGGTCCATGTTTAAAGGCACTCTGGTATTAAGGTGAAGGTGAAGGCAGGGACCTACCGCCATGGACAATCAGGCATGGTCATTAATGAGGCACTGCCTGGCCAAACATGTCATGTAACCCCAAGACTTGAAAAGTGACTCTGGCCATAGAAAATAGAGCAAAAAGGATAAAACCCACATCATAAATAATGTTCAGAGAAATTGCCAACACATCACTAATACTAATAGTTAAGGCAGAAATTGACATGTTCTTGCTAACACACTTTAATCAACCAGACTGTGAGTTTCAAGAACCATTATTTAGGCTCTTTACCCAACCAAGAGAATGCTCATTTGTATTATAAAAAAAAATACAATATATGGGTGCCCCCCAAATAAAATGGTGAAATACTTCTTCCAATCATTTGCCACATCATCTTTACCATGGAGAAAAGTAATTGACAAGTAGCTATGTAATTATTTGAGTGTAAATTGCCATTGGTTTTCTTCATGTCAATTTGGAAACAGGAAGTCAGCAGCATTGACCCACCACTTGCATGTTGTCAGTGCACTGTGTGTGAAAATGACTTAAGAAAAATGAAGCAGCAGAGGTGCCTTTCAAATATTGCCAAGAGTACAGTAACAGCGAGTCACTACTAGAGGCATGTAACGCGATACCAAAATAATTTCAACTAGAAAACGCTCCCAGGAAGGCCTGCATGTCAGCCAACGGCCATTAGATAAAGGTAACCCATTATGAAGCTCGGGGAGAGGAGCCACTCTCATGGTGTAAGTTCACCCCAAGAGCAGAGAGCCCCCACATTGCCAATCTCAGTCACGAGGCTCGACTTTTCGACCAGGGACACTGCCGACTGATTGTCAAGTCTGTTTTAAACTGTGGAGTCTATGGGATCTGTGAGTGATTTGCAATTAAGGCCTATGTGTGGTTCTCGTGCAAGATTTTGGGGCATGTCCATGGTGACATATAGCAGTGAGTGTGGAGCTAGTGGGAAGACCCAAAACTAGAAGTTTAATACTTATTACCTGTCTTTAGCTAGTCCTTGTTTCACTGGGGAATAAATTATATAATGGAGTGTAGTGCAACGGAAAAGTTGATCTCTATGAAGCTTATGAAAGGCAGAGATAATATTATAGATAATTTCTTGATACCCATAAGTCATACCCAAGCTTGACTTATTGTAACTTGACTTATTGTAAAAGAAGTGAAGTGTATGGCATTGGAGACATGAATTGTGTGTTGGCAGAGAAGCAAATTGTGTACTCACCTAGTTGTGCTTGTGGGGGTTGAGCTTTGACTCTTTGGTCCCACCTCTCAATTGTCAGTCAACTGGAGAAAGATTCCTGTGTGGTGATATAGGTGAGGGGTGGCAGTTATGTGAGGTATGAGGTGTCGTACATGTACTCACCTAGTTGTACTCGCCTAGTTGTGTTTGCAGGGGTTGAGCTCTGGCTCTTTGGTCCCGCCTCTCAACCATCAATCAACTGATGTACAGATTCCTGAGCCTACTGGGCTCTGTCATATCATGTAAGATGGTAATGATTCAAGGTGTGGGGTGGCAGAGATGAGAGGTGTGGGGTGGCAGGGATGAGAGTTGTAGGGGTGGCAGGGATACGAGGTGTGTGAGGTGGTGGATATATGAGGTACAGGGTGGCAGAGATGAGAGGTGAGGCTTGTGTGAATGGTTTAGACATACAGTATAGAGAGACGATGACAGATGATAAGTTGGCCAGGATAATAAACAAAGGGGTTTAGAGAGATGGGTATACAACCAACATCATGGTAAGGAAAAGAATAATGGCATTGTTTACATTGTATGCTTGCAAAAGTTGTTCAGAGACGTTCTGTCAAGGTCATTTCCGTTGGGGAAACAAAGCGTCACAGATGTCGATACTGTAATAGAACACCGAAACAATGCAGAATCGAGGCTTTCTATTTTTGTATTCGGCATGCAGTTTAGTTCAAGCAAGATTACTCTGAAAAAATGTTTTGATTCATATTTTAGAACTAGGTGCTTGAATTTATTTTGTTGATACAGTGTACTAATTAATTAATGTACAGTATTTTAACATGAGTGGGGAAAAAATGGCAGCTCTTAGTTACATGTTTTGTATTACTGATTTGTCTGTGGGTTCATTTGATGCTGTGTCCTCCTGGGAATGGTCTTTGGAACTGGCAGCTCTGATAGAAGAGCCTCCCTCTTGTGTAATCTCTTAGTTGTAATTCCAGGAGTTGAGCCGCGGCTCTTGGGGTTTTGCCTCCCGACCCTTCATCGACTGGTGTATAGGTTCTAGAGCCTATTTGGGTATGTACTCTCCTGTAGGTGCTGGTGACCTCTACTCATCATTTTAATCCCTCATTTCTTAGTCTTTTGTGCAATGGATATTTAGCTTTATTTACTTATATTATTTACTAAGTTGTTATTGTCATTATTATTATTATTATTATTATTATTATTAAAATTTAATGTCGATTCAATCTACACAGTAATTTCATCTTATGGAATTTTGTTCCTACTAGAAGTGTTGTCTATTCTGGAAGAGCATCGGGTAATTGAATGCATCCCCACAGTATTGTTCAGCTCTTGAAAATATTGAAAAAATAAAAATGGTAAGTGAAAAGTGCCATTTGCATATAGGTTCACTAGATAACTTCATATTGATTTTCAAATATTACTTACCTGTTGGAATATTGACTACTAGGAAGGGACATCATTCCCATCTTATCTACATCATCTATTAAATCAATAATACCAATTGTATGTGTAGTATACATTAGTGAACAGTTTCCGTACCCCTTGGTCTCTGTAAAGGTTTTTTTTGAGTTCAGTGATGTCTGTATGTTTGAAATTTACTCAGGATTGTGAGTTGTCACACCTCACATCATGGTATTCAAATCATTTGTCAGGGAGCAGCTGTAAAGTATCACCTTAGCATGAGTATGGGACCAGTTACACTTTGCGGGAACCATTCCTTACATCATGCGGTAAGCTAGATAACAGTTCTTTGTTAGTCCCCATTTAAAACTATTTTAAATCTGGGTGGTGCCAGTTAGACACCGTTAGACACCCATTGGTTTCAAACCAAAAACAATAAAAGTGAAGGCTACAAATAAAACATTTTGTTTTTTAGTGGCAAGACTTAGGACACAAAGGTCATAGAGTCAGAGATAGATACTTGAACCTTTCCAGCGAAGTTTAAATCTAGAAATAATAAACAGTACCTCAGTCATGTGTAATGTTTCCTATTTACTGCAAGAGAAGTTCAAAATAAAGTTTCTCCTGTAATTCGAGAGAATTCCCAAGCCTCAAGCTTGTTTAGGTTCGGAACTAGAGTGAACTAGCATGTAATCGAGAGGTACATCTCAAGGCTCGGGTACTGCTGTCGGCCATTCCACTGGTATTCGGAAATGACCGGGTGTTAATTCATTATAATTTGTGAATATATGTTATGATTCAAAAGCAAGCTTTGACCCCCTAGACAAGTTATCTAATATTTCCTTTGGGGTCTTTTGTATATTAAAATTCCCAGCCAACCAAATTGACCACATTGAAAAGCTTAGCAGTCAAGCAATGATGCTTTGTTCTATGCAGTAGTAATAAGATAAAATTCTAGTAGTTAAATTTGATATCACTATATGTTGCCTTAATGTGTTAGTGTATATAGTGTGTGTGTATATTACCCTGTGTACAGAAAACTAATTTTCTAAGAGTGTGCAACCTGCGAGGCGATGGATGAGCTTGTGAATGTAAAAGCTTACCAATTTATTATTGAATATTCTTTATTGCTTATTTACTCAAACCTCTTATCTTTTTTTTCCTCTATTTTACAAGGTCGCCTTTGATTTAAGTGTTGCCCATCAATAAATATGGGCAAAAATTAGGGTATGATAACCATAAATTGTTATTTGCTAAAGAAAATTATCTTGTCTTTTTTTTTTTTGTCATACACAAGAAGAATCATGGATATAATTTTTTCTCTCAGGAATATCTGTATTCATGCACTTTGCATTCTACTTTCCTTCTTCCCTTCACTGTGAATATAAATCATCACAGTATTTGGTATAATTATATATGCTGTATCTTACATATATGATTATGGCCAAGATTCAAGACACATTTTTTTTTATATAGAGAATAAAACTGTGTAGACTGTTTTAATAAGTTATAAACAAGCAAGACAATTCTGAGGAGTGGGGAAAGAGAGTCATAATCAAATGCCCCATATCAAATTCCTAGAAAATGGCCTCAGAAGAACAAGAGAAAATAACAAATTTGTTGAATTGGAAATTACAAATTCTTAGTCAGGTAAAAGAAGATAGATAATTGTGGGTAATAGGGTGAAAGAGTTGGCATATGCACATCATGAGCAGAGATGTAAATATGTTTGAGTAAGCATACAATTGATTAGTAAAAAATGTGCATGTAGAGTGAAAATTATTAGAAATTGCATAATTTGAAAATGTATAGCATGTACAGTATCAGCTTTACTGATGGCAAAGTTCTGCCGACGATTTTGATAGGACGATTCAGTGACCATTATATAATGTGGTTTTGTGAGTGCATGCGTGTGTGATTTCCAGTATTATAAGTCGAGGGTTGCCAGGATGTATAGGAATTATTTTTTTTTTTTTTTTTTTAATCTCTAGAAATTATATTTGGTTTAGGATTAAAGGATTGTCTTGATTAACAAGTACTGTACCTGTCAAGTTCATGGTAAATTTTGGTGTTAAACCAGCTCTTTCTAGGTAGCAAAAGTTAAAACTGCCTGGACATTATTTTAATACTCTGCCACCCCTACTCCCAAAACCCAAATGTTTTTAGTAATGGCTCTTAAGAATATGCAGTACACACACATCAGGGCTCCTCATTCTGTTGTAACATTGTGGCACATTACTCTGTGATGGTTTTTAGCCAGTCTATGTTTGGAAAATGTCTATCATGGAGGGATATTTTGTAATTTCATTTGTTTTAATATACTGGGCTCATAACCATTAGATTTATAGGGCTATACTGTGCATTGTATGTGCAAAATTATTGGATAGTTGTCATACGAGACCAAACTCAACATCGGCAATGTATGTATTCGTATACAAACCCAAAACCCAAATCTTGTCTGCAACTGGATTAGTTACATTTTTAGCATGTCTACAAATGTTTTGTTACGTTGTCCATTAAATTTTTTTTACGTATTTCAAGACCTTCTAAATCCGGGCAAATGTTGTTTAGTAATGCTTTGTTCAGAGGAAGAATATATTTGACAGTATACGGAGCATACAAAACTCTGTTCATTTCCATAGGAATTATAGGTAAAAAGAATGTACATACTGATTGCCAGAAAGAGTTGGTGTGTGAAATGCAAAAAAATAACCATATGCTTATCATCATCATTTAAGTTCCAGATAGGAAAGGCATGAAAGTGGTAGTCATGATCTGAAGAAAAGCACTGAGAAAGTAATATTATGTTTTAAATTCTTCAAGAACTAATAACAGTACAGTATTTGAAATTACCTTAAGTATTGTACACGAAAATTCAAATGCAAAGAATGATAAAATTCTGAAATTTCATAAAATAAATATATATATAATGTACTGTATATACATACATATACAGCTTCTTAAGAGTGCTGTATTTGTGTATATTTTCACATATATATTTGTAAAGAATTATACTTTGCAAAAAAAAAAAAAAAAGTTTGAAATATTTGTCTAGTTACATCATCACTAATATTGGGCACAGTTATTTTTGGTTAATTTCACAAGTTGCATTAAGAAAAAAAATTTCAAATTAGACAAACCCTACAGGTACAGTACTTACTTATTTGGTGTTACTTGCCCTGATTTAGGCAATTATGGACGACTATTACAACATTAACCCAGTTTGTGGACCATTGTCATCGAACATTTTTCATATCTATTAAATTATGTGACCCCCCTAATGGTTGTGTTAAATTTTGAACTTGTTATATATAATGCAACAAGACCTGAAAAACTATTACAGAGTTGTCAAATACTATTATATAAAGTCAATCTACTTTAATACTTTTTTTTTATATATGATAATCATCATGAAAGCAAATTTTTGTCGGGTAAGCCAGAGTTGGTCAGCAATATCTAACGAACATTTGGTAACTGTAGTAACAGCGAGAGTATCATTAGGTATTCCTGTTTCTCATGGTGTTGTCCTTGGCCATTACAGAGGCTATACTGTATATATATATATATTTTTTTTTATCTCATTTGACGGAGTTGCATAAGGGGTTGTGGAAGGGGGGTGGGGTGACTGAAAGAGATTATATGCCCGAAGTCTTGCCCCCTCTCTTGGTGTGTGTGTCTGTCCCTTCCCTTCCCTGTGGTTGAGTACTTAAAAGGAGAATGACCCTAGACAGACGGATCTCTTTCAGTTGTTTATTGATTGGAAAAATGGCAATTGGTGAGTTTGCTATTAGTGTAAATGTGGAATTAGGGTGCATTTTTTTTCCTTTAGTTGGCAATCTCCCTGATGTGATTTCACAATACGCCGGGTACAGTATAAGCCGAACTATACTGTACTTAATTTTTTTTACATGATTTCTCAGATGTTGATCTTGTTAAGAGGAAAACAAGTGATACTAGTTATTCATATTTATGTACTCTTACATATATATTTAGCTTTCAATTCATTTATTTATTTTTAAAGATAAAATGCACTTGGTTTGATGTGATATGCAGATTATAATTAAAAACTTCACTAACATTGCAACAGATTAATATTCATCCATCCAAACTATACTGGTAATAGAAGTCAAACTTTTAAAAGTGTATACCTTAGAAAGATGGATTACGTGATACAGAATATTTTATTTTTGTGACTTAGCCGAAGAAACGAGGCACTCAAGGGGTCATGTTCTCAAAGCATCACTATAGAAACACATCGTAGGCATGAACGATACTGTTTGCAATACAGAAAAATTTCTTGTGCTACAATAAAGCGTGAGCATTAATTTCAATATACACAGAATGGGGGGGGAGGGGGGAGGTCTTCAATATGTTGGTGAGAATTCGGCCAGGTAAAAAGTTTTTTGTAACAAGTGGCCAATCAATAAAGAATTCTACACTGCCCTTTTGACTTTCAATCTCAAGCTGTGTATGGATTTTGTATCTGATACACATTTGTATATACAGAATTACAAGGGAATGCAGTACATGTATATACAGATTTAAGCACGTCACTAAGATGGGGCAAAAGGATGTTTGAATGAAACTTTTATTATAAACGATGTTCATCTGCAGCAGAACATGGGACTTGCTGCAAGAATGATGGCACCTTCTCCAGCAAACTTAGTAGCCACTAGAGCAAACAAACTTGCAATAAAAAGCACCTAATACTAAAGCATCTAAATCATCAGGAAAGCAACTCCAAGCTTTCATCAAAGTACCTTTCAAAGTACCTTTCCTTTGGCACTCTTTGAAGTACAGTATACTTTCAAAGTAACTTCTGATTGGTGCTTGCTGGGTCAGCCTAACAACAACAGAGGTAAGACAAGGACAATACACACTGCACTAAACAACCTGACCAGTTAAGGTACTTGGCATCAAAAGCCTAAATTCCAACATAACATTGTAGTCACCAATATTTGTGGTAGTAACTAATTGAAGAACAGTAATTCTTTACAAAGAGTGTGTGTGTGGCTTGACTACTTTTATTTTATGTACTGTACTGTATTATGATAATCTTTGTTACTGTGTAATAGTACAACTACTAAGTCACCAGTAAATAAATAGTCTTCATATTTGAAATGTAAATGTGACTACAATTCAATCCAAATTGAATCACTATCAGGTATAAAGTTTCCAACAAGACAAAGGTCTTTTCATTTAATATCATCACTCACATATCTAATACAGTACCAAGTCTGTTATTCTTTATCAGTTCACTGCATTGTGGTAATGTCTATCTTGCATTCACTGTCATACACACATTATAAATTAGGGCATCTTCAACCTGAAGCATAAATCCTTCCCTGAGGAGAGGCACCAAGTCAGATATCACAGACTACTTCGATGTAATGTGTGTGCTTGCGGCACAGGGCCGCTCTCCTCCTGATCCCCAGTTCCAGAATCATTACAAAGTAATTGATCCTGAAGTCTCCACCTTGAAGCCTTGGTCTGATGTCGTAAGTATTCCTCTCACTTGTTCTGTATATATATATATGTCCTTTCTTCACAGCCTTTCCATCACTCATCCTTGTGTGTCTGTCCCTTACTTTATAGACTATTAGTTCCTCTGCAGCCAATACAGGCCCCATTCTTCACCTCCATCCCCCCCCCCCCACTTTTGGCTCTCCTCACTCCCATCCTGACCACTGTAAGTAAGTAATCAAAAAAAAGGCACCAAACCGGGAAGGTTATGTAGCACCCAAATGTGCGGGATAATCGGAGGGCGCTAAATATCACCAAGGACGCTAATGCGAGAACAAACGCATAAGGTGAACGATATCAAAAGTATCCGAGTCACCGAGAATACTATCGAGAGACAAGCGACCACGGGGGACGGTCGGAAAACAAGACACGCTCGTCCCGGAAGTCAGGACACTCGGCAAGGATATGCACGACCATAAGAGGGACAATGCAATTAGGACAATAAGGAGCAGGGCAGCGCGCCACCAAGTGACCATGAGTTAAGCGAGTGTGGCCAATACGCAACCTCGCCAGAGCCGTTTCCCATCGCCGGTTACGGTGGCAGGAGGACGGCCACGAGGACACACAACCTTTAAGAGGACGTAGTTTACTACCAGTAACAGACGATCAACAAGCCTGCCAACGGGTAAGGATGGAGGAATGGATAACCGGATAAAAGTCGGAATAAGGAATGCCTTTACGAGAGATGGGACAAGAACGGACAGCTTGCCTGGTTGCAGCATCCGCACGCTCATTTAAAGAGACACCAATATGGCTGGGAACCCAACAAAACTCAACCGACTTAAATTTACTGTGAACAAGAAACAACCAATGCTGGATCTCGACAACCACTGGATGAACCTGACCACTAATTATCCTTCTCATTCTGAGATTAGTGGATATTGCACTGTCATCCTCTGCTTCACTATGCTCCTATTTCTGCCAGAAACGGAAATCTGATCCAACTCGATATTCTCCAGTGGGTAAGAAAGCCTCAATCCATGACCCAACCTCGTTCCTGTGTCCCGTCCTATCTCTGTGCCTGTCTGCTGCCAACATCCTTATTTCTACATCTGGTGGTGTTTGTCCTATCCCTGCTTGCTCAAACACACTGACGTAGCCTTCTTCCTCACCTGACCCTGTTTGTTTGCCTGTGCTCCCTTCACTGCTCCTTTTTAATCTATTCTATTTTCTAAATTTACCTTTACCCCTAACCCTAATTTCTCTGATCCTATTCTTGATGACATCTATTGTTTTGTATCTGTCTTCAGCGTAAATTTTGTTGTCATCTTCACACTGTTATTTAATAGGTTTCTATTAAGAACCCTTGCTCCTCTCTTTTTCACCTTACTAGATGCTATTCTTTACTTGATCCCGCACTATGCCTTCCACAACACCCGGTAGTGAATTACTTGGTGGAATTCAGGTTGTGTTGTACTTTGACTACTGACCCTTTTGGTAGGTCCTGTTCCCCTTTTCATCGTCTTATGTATTTTTTGCTCCCACATTAACATCTTGAATGACATTTAGAACCTTTTGACTGTTATGTGACACAGATAAGCGGGTTCGATTCCCGCACGAGGCAGAAACAAATGGGCAAAGTTTCTTTCACCCTAAGTGCCCCTGTTACCTAGCAGTAAATAGGTACCTGGGAGTTAGTCAGCTGTCACGGGCTGCTTCCTGGGGTGTGTGTGGTGTGGGGGAAAAAAAAATAGTAAACAGTTGATTGACAGTTGAGAGGAGGGCCGAAAGAGCAAAGCTCAACCCCCGCAAAAACACAACTAGTAAACACAGATGGTGGTAAATAGTCTTCCAGGCTTGGCGCCTTCTTTTGATAATTACTTTACTCTTCTTTCAAGTGAATTGCCATTTAGTACTTTCCAAAAACCTTATTCTGCTAACTGCCATTGGGACTCAAACAACATACAATACCTTCAATCCCATTTCCTCATGGGTGCTGCCTTGACACTGTGAGGGTCTTGTGTCTCAATCTCAGATGGGCGAGGGGGGTTTCGGCTGTCCACTCCTGCCAGGATTGGTGGTGCACGAGTAAAATACACCCTGTGGCTTAGCCATTCGTGTATTTGCCCTGCATGGAGATCCACATATTGCCCATTTCCTTTCGTCTGGAATTTGATCCTACCCAGTGATAGCAGCTCCTGGTGGGGCAATATGTGTGTTTGGAGGGTGAATGAGGCCCGACAACGAACTGGCTAGTAAGATTAGCAAACTCGGCAGGATATGGGACAAGCGAGTATTGGAGAGTCGGTATTCTTACAGTCAATGGATTGCCATTCGGGTTCCCACTAGTTAATGTTGTATAATCCTTGTTAACCTGAGCTAGCCTGCGTTCTTGTACCTAGCCCTTGTTCGGCTTTGTGATGGGTTGGGTTGGAGAGAGATCAAATCTATCTTGTATAAACAAATGTGTGTGTTAACCACCACCACCACCCCCCCCCCTCCTCCTCCCCCCCCCCCCCTCCCCCTCCCTCCCCTCTCTCTCTCTCTCTCTCTCTCTCTCTCTCTCTCTCTCTCTCTCTCTCTCTCTCTCTCTCTCTCTCTCTCTCTCTCTCTCTCTCTCTCTCTCTCTCTCTCTCTCTCTCTCTCTCTCTCTCTCTCTCTCTCTCTCTCTCTCTCTCTCTCTCTCTCTCTCTCTCTCTCTCTCTCTCACACACACACACACACACACACACACACACACACACACACACACACACACACACACACACACACACACACACACACACACACCACACACACACTCTCTCTCTCTCACACACACACTCACACTCTCTCACTCTCACACACTCTCTCTCACTCTCTCACTCACTCTCTCACAAAATTTTGAATAAAGGATTGTGAACAAATGTAAAACAGAACCAGGTTTATTCTATAAATTCATAAACAACAAATTGCAGGTAAAGGATAATATTCAGAGGTTGAAAATGGGAAATAGATTCACGGAAAATTAAAAGGAAATGTGTGAAACATTGAACGAAAGTTCCAACGTGTGTTGTACATAATGAAATCTTCAGGGAACCAGACACAATAAGAATTCTAGAGAACAACATAGAGCACATAGAGGTGTCTAGAGACGAAGTGGAAAAAATGCTCAAGGAGCCAAGTAAGAACAAAGCAGTTGGTTCAGATGGAGTTTCACCATGTGTGCTGAGAGAATGTATACCCGATCTCAGTATTCCACTTCAAATGATTTTTCAGGCATCCCTGTATACAGGAGTTGTAGCTGATGTGTAAAAAAAGGCTAACATAGTTCCAATCTACAAAAGTGGCATCAGGGAAGACCCCCCTTAATTATAGACCTGTATCATTGACAAGTGTATAGGCAAAATACTGTATTAAAATAATTAAAACTAAATGGGTAGAACACCTGGAGAAAAACTATATATCAGACAGACAGTATGGTTTTCGATCTGGAAGATCCTGTGTAACGAATTTACTCAGTTTTTATGATCGAGCCACAGAGATTTTATTGGGAAGAGATGGATTGACTGCATCTATTTGGACTTAAAAAAAGGCTTTTGACAGTTCCACATAAGAGGTTGTTCTGGAAACTGGAACATATTGGAGGGGTGACAGTTGGGAAATTTTTCATCCATGTTAGGAGCTTACCTGACAGAAAAATGAGGGCCGTAAGCAGAGGTAATGTATCGGATTGGAGGAATGTCACAAGTGGAGTACCACAGGGTTCAGTTCTTGCACCAGTAATGTTCATAATCTACATAAATGATCTACCAGTTGGAATACAGAATTATATGAACATGTTTGCTGATGATGCTAAGATAATAGGGAAGATAAGAAACCTAGATGATTGTCATGCCCTTCAAAAAGACCTGGACAAAATAAGTACTGTATATGGAGCACCACTTGGCAAATGGAATTTAATGTGAATAAATGCCATGTTATGGAATGTGGAATTGGAG